TTTCTTAACCTTAAGAAAACATCATTACAAAATCAAAAAGTCTTGCTTTAGAATTTCGAGCAACTGAAGAGCATTGGAAAGTAAAGAAAAGTACAACGTAATTTCAGTTTGATAATCCTATAAACTCAGATTTCAAAACAAATATTAGAGATATTAACCCAAACATCCATTTTTTTTTACAGTGAAATGCCATTAAAAAAAAGAGAGACATGCAAGATATAATTAATCCTGAGGTAAGAAAGTAACAAGTTAGGCATTTGAGTTCTCTTCGCAAGAGGGAGAGTGCGCATATTCACTTTAAGGGAAGCCTTATAAATCCACATGCAAACAGAGGACACTTATTTGTCACAACAGAACTTTAGTTCACAAAGCTATTGATTAGAAACAATAGATTTCAACACAAGTGCAAGAATAAACAGGTCTGAAGTGCATCAGGAAAACAAAGTACATCAACATATATGTGAAGCTTTTCATAACAGTTAACTATTGCTTCTGGCAATATAATGACACCATAAAGAAGTGACATTGCATTTTAATTCAGTGAAGAGTCTGTTTATGTACAGATCTTGGTTAAATCTGTTTTCCAGGACTGTTAAAGCTATTCTAGAAATGCTAGCCCTGGCTGGAGGCTAAGGGACACCAGCACCATTTTCCTTTCACCATAACAATCTCTACTTACACGAAGATGGCATTTAACCTTTGCAGATCTCTTTATAACCAGGCAGGATAAAATTATCTGTCCCCGTAACAGCTTAGAAATACTCAGAAAAAGGCCACAGAAGTCCAAAGCCCTTTTCTAGAAAAGGCCTTTGTATTTACTGGTTTGATATTCAAAGAAAAGGAATGGTTATGGATTTGTAGATTAAAACATTATCATTTTAAGGCTTTTGAAAAGTTGGTAAGTTGATTTTTTTTTTCTTAAATTATGGCTGGAGCCCATGCCACACACATGACTGCAGAGAGGGAAAGGACACTGTCAGTGTTCCCAGAGTATCCTGGTTAGTCTGACACAGGAGAGGTGGACATTACAACAGTCAACGAGAAAAACATGCAGGAGAGAAGTTAAAGCTTTTGGGTGAAAGTATGAACCTGTCAAATGCTTGAGTCTAATTGTTCTAAATTGGCTAAACTTCAGTGCAGCCACACTGGCTTGGGCCGTGTACTACTACTACTCTTTCGTGTGCCACAAGATACACTCTATAAAGCGTAACATTTTATTGACAGAAAAATGATCACAAGAGCTCCCCTGCAATAGTGAACTACCAGAGAGTGTCGTACAGGAGATGACACAGCTGAAGTCAAGGACAAGAGTTCCACGGTTTTAGTCTTGACATCTTAGATGTGCACCCTGTTTTCCGATCACAGAAAGACCAACCACCAAACAGCTAATGCAAGAACCACGAGAAAAGACATCATGAAAGGAATACGAGGAGATGGAAAAGCACTAGAGTAGAGGTGGCACTTTCTGAGGGACTTGTGATCCTCAGGGATTGGAATAGAAACCTTGGGAAGCGTTTCTTCATTTTCTTGCTGGGGCAAGGCTCTTTCTGTAGATCTCTCTTGCCTTTTAATTTGCTCTTCACCCTGTACTAACAGAGCACGTTCCTGTGTCTGCTTTCACGGTAGAAGATCAAGAAAGACAGAGAAAGATGAACAAAATGACAGATGGAAAAATGCTCAAAAATGATACTTGGGGATGTGCAAAGGATTTGGAGAGATCTTTCGGACACTCTTTGCTAAAGCAAAAGTGTGACTTGACTTCAGCCAATTATTCTGGCAAAGTTTCCGTAACACAGTATGGTTCTTAACAGATCATTCTTTGAATGTGTGAACATTATTGGAACTCCTCAAAATTTAAAGAACCACTGCCTCTCCCTAGTTACAGTATAAGTCTTCCTCTGAGGAGATTCACACCTCAATTCGGGGTCATTTCTCATTGTTTTGGTGTTGCCAATGACAAATCAGTTGGGCAAGACCAATGATGAAGCATTCTTCTTGCCATTAGAAAAGTTGCTTTTATTATAAAAAGAATGGCAGAACATAAAGAAGGAATCCTCACATCTCTTCATATACGCTTAAAATTGCAACAGTTCAGATTTTGATCAAGGGATTAAAAATCTTAGTCATATATTTCAAGGACTGCAAAAGTGCAAAAGAAAACAAAAGGTATAAAGTCATTCTACACCTTCAATGCCCAATCTCCCCTAACAAAAAAAAAAAAAAAAAAAAAACAAAGAAAGAAAGAAAGGAAGAAAGAAAGAAAGAAAAAAAGAAAGAAAGAATCCCTGTACCCACTACAATGGTAAATTCTCGTTCCATCTCTGTCAGAGTTATGACTAAAAATAGTAACAACCATGGTGAATGTTTATACATTACATCAAGGAAATAATTTTGACACTTTTAAGGAAAATTTTTTCTTGGAATTGTTCAATTGAGAAGCTTTTTGTTCTCTGCAATTTCTGTATTCTGCTATTCACAGTCAAGACAATTGTCATCTATGAAAGGAAAAACCTGGCTTTGAGTTCTCTCAGTTGAGCTAGTCTTCTCTGATCCGTTTGGAAGTTCAAAACTGGTTCTTTGCACACCCCTAAGTGATACGTATCAGGGAGAAAGTAGCTAGGGGACTGGTAAGCAAAAGGAAAAAAGAAAAAGAAAGGATGCAAAATTATAATGATATTCAAAACAAAATAGAGGGAAAGAAAGACAACATAAAAAGAATAGGGTATAATTAAATTTGTTTTCTCTCTGAATACATATTTACATCTTCATGCAGCTTTTCAACCAGCCATGCGCCAAAATAAGCCAATTGAAAGCTGCAAAGGCTGCAGCCGTGAAGTGTTACATGTTAGGCCAAAAGGTGTTGGGTGTGAATTGACTAGGATAGCCAAAAAGAAAAGAAAAAAATTAAAACTGTGTAGCAGTTGCTTTCAATTCTGAGGGATTATCTGCTTAGTGCCATGACAAGAGCAAGGTCTGACTGAGAAGCACAAGTCATAATGGCAGCTTTACCTCTGGCCCACCAACCTTTCTTTCCGAGGGAAGGACAGAGGTTTTCTTCACCTGGTCATACACAAATTACACAAAATTCAGTTGCCTTGCATGCAACAATGTTGTCAAAGGTGGAAGGGGAATCCCCAGAAAACAAAAATATTATTCAAATTCTTATTTTTAAAAAAAAGATAAGAAATGCCACAATGTGCAATTTTCCCTACATGAAAGATCATTGCAGTACTATTCTTAGGTATTCCATTATTCATTTATAGGGATAATAAATGTAAACACAGAGCTAAAATTGTTCCAGTACTCCTCAAGGGGATAATTTAGTTTACAAAAGTAATTTCTTTAAAATCCATGGAATGATATCACCATTCCCAAAACCAGTCCTGAGATGATTTCTATTAAAAGGCCTAACATGTTTTCTGGAAATGGGAACTGGTTCAAATTTAAACAGCTTTATCTAAGAGAGTACTAAGTTACTTTTTCAAGGTAGTTTTGCATCTTTTGTTACTTACAGAGACAAAAATAAAACTTCTAGAAAATGCAATCATGGCTTATAGGTAGGAATAATCAGGGGAGACAGCAACAAGGCATATTCCAAAGTCATAGACTTAAAGAATTTTGGAGTTCATAAGGAAATTAAAGATCAGCCACTCCATATACAGACCTGACAAGTTAAAGGACTTATTCAGAACTGTTCAGTTAGGTCTGGATTAGCCATAACCTTTTAAAGACTCAAAGCCCCTACAGGAGGACTCTTACTACCAGATACAAATCCGAATGATATATATTACTGACACGGAAAGTGAGCTCATCCAGAAGACGGAGTAACTGGGTACATGATCTAGATTCAGAATACAAAACTAATGTCCCTTTATTCAGGGAGTGGTGGCTGAGAGGACAGGAAGAATAGCATTTGATCACCCTGGGAACTATACAGCTGCCTGTTGTCCAGCATTATTTGTGAAAACTAAATTAACTCTGCCCGGAGAAGTGCTAAGCAATTTTAATAATGCAAGAACTCAAAAGATAAATACCCTTTGTCAACCAGTTTTATCACTTTCTTCAGTTGCAGAAACTAAACAAAAATTTAAATAGTCTACCAAGAATTCTGAAAATGGAAATACAATCTGTTTTTAAATTACAAAGGCAAAGCTTCACCTTTCTTAACTAGTACTGCTATCATGTATAGGCAGAAATGAACATAAAATTTAAAAATCATTATAATCATTAATTGAGTCACTGTGACCATTTCCATCAATATTTAACTGTATTGGCCAAAGATAAAGATTTGTGGATTATATCCATAAGACAGTTTCCTTGAACATATTTACTGATATGTATAGGATCGCTAAAGTAATGACAACAGTGACAAAAAACCCCACACAAATCGCTAAAAGACACCTCAGGTCTGCTCTGTGACTATCTTACAAAACAGTTTATTAAAAGTTTGGCATTACTCATAAAGATAAAAATAAACCACCATTTTTTTCTAGCATCAGAGTGCATGTACTAATACTTGATGTTCTGCATTCTCTGGGTTAGTGGTTTGTTATGTAACTGTGAGTAACCACCTCAGACATTTCTAAGTTGTGCAAATATTCAAATAAGGTTTTTCAGAAAATGCTAACTAACCTTTTCCAATTTTGGTCTTACTAAATTTAGTAAACTTTCTGGTCCTGGAAGGCACAGTTTGACCATAAACAAAGTTCTATTGGTTTCTGGCCAATTTATAAACACACACTAGACCAGAAGGCTGCGGCTCAGAGTGTCCTCAGAGCCCAGTCATGACTGAGAACTCTAAGTGGCTCCCATCATTAGGCTGGGAAGTCTCCATGACTTAAAAAAAAAATGTGTTTGATTATGAATGTCTTAAAGCTGTCGTGAACTGGTACGATACCAAAGCTACATTTCAACTCTAAACTTTTAGATGCAAAACATTACTACACAAAAACAATTACTCCATTCAGTCTCACATTTGGTCTTGCAGACAAAATACTCACTCCTTCTCCTGTAGGGACTTGCCCATTGATGTTCAGAGATCGGAAAGGTGAATGAGTTGATAAGCGCTTATCCCATTCACTAGGCCGTGGTTCTGGTACAGATTCCATGAAGTTCTTTTTCAGCTCACTGATGCTGGCATGATGCTTTTTGATCTCTTCTTGACTCTTATCTAAATCCTATGATTGGAAGGACAAAGACGCAACCCAGTAAATAATCAGAACAGAAAACACATGAAGGGCAACCCATGAGAGAGGCTGGGCACTGGTAGAAAATGCACCACATCCGGAATAAATGTGACTAGTCCACAAACCGCATTCAAATTGTAAATATACAGCACAGTATATTTGTTTGATTTTTATTAAAACAAGGTGCTCTGCTCAGAAGCAGTGAAGCATCACAATCTCACAGCTCTTAGCAGTCACGTAACACATGACACATAACAGAGTTGGCTTCTTCACTTCATGACTCTTCTAAAATGGTGAAGTACCAGATCTCCAACTCCTTATCCTGAGAAGGTAATCCTGTAACTCAGCTGGACAGGAAATGATTTAGATTGATCTCAGGCAGGATGGAGATAGTAGTGGATAAACTATTCAGTGAAAGATTCAACTTCGACTCTTAGTCGATATTCCTTGGTGAGTTGTAACTACACAATTACCATTCTATTTCAATCTGGAGATAGCTTTGCTTCTCTATTACAAGATGGCTGCCTTTGCTTTTTGACAAGGATATTGCCCTTTTTTGGGAGATATAAGAATCTATTACTAAAATTCACAGTTAAAGCAGATTGTTACTACCTGCAGAATTACTCTGGGAAATGTAATTCAATGGAATGTGTTGCTGCTGTTAGTACTATTAACACAAGCTAAAAGCCTTAGACTTTCTAGTGTTTAGCAGCTTTACTCCATCCCTCAGTATAAACCAAAACAGGGATATTCTTTCTATCGATTGGGGATGAGCTAGCAACAGTTCACCAAATGCTTGGTATTGTCTGCTTGGCAATGTAAAAATAATCCTATTATTCCAACAGATTCGAATACTGGGTTCTTAGAGCTAGGGACAGGCTCTTAAGGAGGATATTCCAAGGAGAAATTATCAAAACTATGGTTAACAAAGCATGGACCAGAATATTCAGGCTTATAAGAAAAGAGGTAAAGAACAACATTCAAAAAGGAGACTTAACCAAAAAATAGTCTGGCAGGTACAACTTGATGACAAAACCCTAAAGTTCCTAATCCAATAGTACCTAAACTCAAAAAGATCTGTGCTTGGGATCAAAATATGTGGAGCCTATTGTTTTATGACTGCAAAAGAAATGTTTAGTATGTATAAAGGCAGCTCTGCATTCAAAAAAATCATAATGCTAAATATATATCCTAGTATGCTACATGAATTTTAGTCTTTTTTTCTTAGCTCTGTCAGAAACAGTCTAGTCTGAGATGTGGTTAAAACCTTTAGAATTGATTTAAATAAAAATTAAGTTTTTTAATGAGGGTAATATGTGCTTCAACTAAATAAGTGTTTCAAAAAAAGGGAAAATTGCATAGGGAAAAGAACAAGTAAGACATACAACAACTTAATTCTGTGGGCATTCCTACAGAAAGTGCAGTTATATGCTTTATTTTTGCAAGAATGAACCCTGTATATTTGCTTTAACACTAAAGAAAAAACTAACCGCTAAACAGGCAATCCTATATCTCTCCCATAAGAGCATCTCTGGTTTGTTGGGATGAAAAGTACTTTAGGTTTAAGGGTTTCACCATGGGGAAACAAGTTCATACTTGTGTAAGCTGAAAGCAAAATGGGCATATTTTCTAGCTCACTCATAGACTCAAGTTCGGGAGCAAACAGCTGAGACCCAACAACCTGTGGCCCAGCTCCTGACTGGAAATTAAACCACCTTGGACCAAGATTTAACACACTGCAGAGGGTTAAAAATGTGAATGGAGCAAGAGAAGCTATGGTGAAACCAAGTAACTCTCTTTTGAGTTCCTCTCTTAATATGGAAGAGAACGAAGATATCTTGCCTAGTTATTGACTGGCTTGGAACCTAAGACATGTTTCAATAAAACTTGGAGCTTCTGAGGAAATTTTCTCCATCCTTCTTAGCTGTCTTTGTTGGAAACCTGTGGGGGCACAGAATAAAATTAAGATCTCAAAGGGACCTGTTCCAAATAGAATTTGTCATAGACACTTGCTATTGCTACAGGTTCTCTCTGGGAGATGGAGGAGGAGGCGGTAGATCTAAAAATGAACTCGACCTTATTTATGCCAGAACAAAGCATTAGTGGGGGTGGAATAGAAGGGGAGAGAAGGGATGTTTTAAGGCAGGGCAGGGCAGGAATCCTAGAGTGACAGACAACTTGAAAGAATGTCTTTAGTGGGGGGGAGGGGAGAGGAAACAAACTTTTTTTATAGCAACTATAGAATGGCAGTCCAATTTCCTTGGCTGTATTGATTAGACACTAATGTTTACCATCTTAGAATTTTAGCAGCAATCAAACAAAATACTCATTATAGAAAAGCTTTCATATGTCAGTTAGTAATTTTAGTTTTCAAACACACACTTCATTAGAGATTCCTTCTCATGGCTGTCAATGAAATGCTGGGAGAAAAAAAAACACACACACCACACCACACAAAGGCATTTGTGAGTTTCAGAAGCTGTAACACACCTCATGAATCAAAAAATATATGATTGGTACTATAGGTTCCAGGTGAAGATGGATTAGTCAGGAAAGGCTGCGGATATGATTAGAACTGGGAGATGCTACATGGCCAAGTGAAAGAGGTCAACTGACATCAGCTGTCCTCCTTAACTTCTGAAGATGGAATTGTTCCGGCCTGGTTTCGGGTATGGGTTAAAACAAAGAGATACAGTTACTACACTTGAAGTATCCAAGGGGCCTGGAAAAATTCATGTCACATGAGAAAAATGCAGTAAAGTACTTGGCATTGTGCTCACTATGCAGTTATGGTTAATAAAGACTGGCCATAATTTTTATTCCTTTTCTATAATTTTGATTACTTTGATCAAACTACCTTATGTATAGCAGATCTTCAAAATAGCAAAGATGAGGTTAAGCTATGATTTGATGTCGTTTATTACACCAGGGATCAATTTTAAAAAGTTCTTTTAAACTTTTCAGTTTAATATTTACCACATTTAATCTGTGCTGATCTTTCAGGTCTCAGCTAAAAACTTACCTTTTTAGAGAGACCTTCCTTGAACATTTTATTTAGAGTAGATCCTCTGTGTAAGCATAATACACTGTTTATTTCCTATGTAACTTCTCTAATTACATATGCATAACGCCAGGTTCTTGTAATTTTTTTTCTCAGGGTTTTTAAATTCTCTAATTACGTTTATATTTCCCTATCTAATGTGACCCTACCACTTAGGTGAAGTGTACTAGCTTTTCCAACTTACTAGTTCTGTGATCATGGGGACATGACAATTTCACTAAGCTTTAGTTTTCTCATATTTAAAAATAATAATCCCGGCCCAACACAATAGCGTAATGGTTAAAGTCGTCGCCTTGAATGCGCTGGGATCCCATACAGGCGCCGGTTCTAATCCCGGCAGCTCCGCTTCCCATCCAGCTCCCTGCTTGAGGCCTGGGAAAGCAGCCAAGGACGGCCCAAAGCCTTGGGACCTTGCACCCAGGTGGGAGACCCGGAAGAGCTCCTGGCTCCTGGCTTCGGATTGGCTCAGCTCCAGCCGTTGTGGTCGCTTGGGGAGTGAATCATCGAACAGAAGATCTTCCTCCCCATCTCTCCTCTCTGTGTATCCACCTTTCCAATAAAAATAAATAAATCTTAAAAAAAATAATAATCCATCTTCATAGTCTGTTTGCATGATAAGGCTGCCTTGTATCAATAGTAACTACTCATTAAATGCTATGCAATTCTGTTTCCTCCTAGGATCATGCTTTTTGTTCCCCGACCATCCTTCTGTTGTTTTTTATTACCTCCAATATTTCAAATCCAGTTTGAATTAAGCTCATTTTCCCTATTTTTTCACATTCTCTCAGTTCATTAAGATGAAAGAAAAATAGTGCAAATTTGCCTCTTTGAACATATTGAAGCCAATGTACTTGGAAGTTTCAAGTAAGTTTTAGTAGTGATGCAGAACTTCCTAAAAGTGGTTGAAACAATGGAACCATGCAGGGCAGGGGCAGTCCCAATCATATATTTTATAAGTATGAGAGATGGAAACTAAAAAGAACCAGGGAGAGAAATGGTTGCGTATTTTCATGTCTACCAACATGCAAAAGCATTTTAAACCTAAAATTATCTCATGCAATGGCATGCAAAACCAAACACAGCATAGAATGAAGAAAAGGGGAGCAGCAAGGAATGCAGAAGATTCCAGGCAACCAACTGAAATAAGCTTCAAGTTCATACAAACCTCCAACATTAAATTGCTATGTCTGATATAAATGTTTTCACCATCTAGTCTCTCTCTCTTTTTCTGTGAAAATGAAAGGGGGGGGGAAGAAAAGCATAAAAAATTAAAATGTTGTTCTTGCGGGAAAAAAACTGCAAACTGGCAAACCAAAAATATTTAAAATCAAATGTCTGCAGCACAGCATATGCCAACATGAAATGGTCACAGAACCACAAGGACATACAGAGAACACAATCACCATTAGCAAATGGATGGCCTTGTTTATGGATGATGAAGGACGTGATGATGTTATTTCAATAGACAGTGCTCCTGGCTTCATTGGCTTCTTACATAACAGGCTGCTGCAGGATCATTTTGAAACTGAACTGCTTGAGAATTATCTCAAAAATATGACTTTGAAAATATGTGACTCCACCACGTAACGAAAAATACTTCAGAAACATCATCTAGCATTCAGACATACATCATGCTTTGTAATACTGCAGTGCCTCAATTTCTAATACCTTTTTATAAGGAAGATCTAAAGCATTTTATACATGATCAGCTGATAAAGATATTTAGTAAGAACTGATTCATTCCTTCCCATAGTTTGGAAGAATGAGGCGCAGAGCAGTCAGCCCACAGTACTGAACAATATTGGTGGTATTGCTGTGATGGCTTCACAGTAAATGCACATAAAATAGTGTCAGTGATTCCAAGAATATGCTATTGTGAAATAGTTTTTATAAGTTCAAATGTAATGAAAAGAGTTGACTCCATTCATTATTTCATTTTGTTCAGGAAGGATATTTTCCTGAAGGAATATTTCTTTTAATAAAATCTCAATTTGTAGAATAGGATTATACTTTATTTGGCATACACATATACATATGCATATATAAACACATGTATGCTATTTCAAAGCAACTTCTGTTTAAGAGAAATCAATGAAAGAATGGATCACTGTCTTTTTAACGCACTCTAAGTCAACATGGATGAAATGCCAATGTAGTTTTGTGGAAGTGAAAGGTGGCTAACCTTCCTCATTCTTATCAGATCTTCATTTTTTTCTGCAACCTTCTGTTTTGCCATAATTAAAAAAAGAAAGAAAAATGATAAAATGTTGGCTCACTGAAGTTAGCTTGAACCTTCATCTTGTAAGTTTTTTTAAGATGGGGGAGTGAGGGAGAAGAAAAATCTGAGGGGTGTTGAGGAGGGGAAAGGAACAAGTGGCTATTGGCACAAACCTGTGTTTGTTCACCACTTGAGGTGGGGACTGTGACCTCGATGTGGGTTTTTTCCACCTACATTTAAGAAATAAAGTGGTAGAAACATTTCAGGTTAATAAGAGTCTGCGAGTAGCAGTGTTTCCAAATAAGCCACATCCTCAAGCTGGCTGTGTAACATGCGGATGGGTAGTTATCATGACGCAGTTTGATGGTGGGCATTACAGGGTAGGACTCTATTCTCAATAGCACTTTGTGAGAACACCATCACGTTTTCAAGGCTGGAGAGGCAAATACAGATATCCAAATTATCAAAAAAAGAAGAGGCAATTATTATTGATGAAAAAAATTTACATTAATTTATAAAGATATTCATTAAAATAGTAAGTTCTTATTTAATGCTGTCATTATATGTTCTTGTTTTATTTCTTTTTTGATGATCTGGAAGTACTTTAAACAATATTTAAAGATAAATTTACAAATGACAGCATCAATTAATAATACATATAACAGAGCAAAAAGAAAATCTTCAGAGTTAAAACACAGACATAACATGCCACACATGACAAAAGACAGGTAACACAAAGGATTTCGTTAGTTGATCAATTTAAGAAAGCAGTTTTACCCCTCAGTTTACTATACAACAAAACATCAAAATAATCTTAATCCAAATTGTTACAATACATGCAATAATTTCCAGAGCTCATACAGGCCTCAACTGCAGCATTCCACATGCTGCCATATCCTCTCTGGGGAGATGGCGCCCATGTACTTGGTGAAAGTGCAAAGTTCATCTTAAACAGACAGGAAGAGATGAGCCAGACGTCTCCCACCCAGCTTTGAAACACTCTTAGTAATGGTACTACCACACAGAGACAATGCAATATTTTAAAAACCCAAATTATTAGGAGGAAGCATAATGGAATGAGTGATTCCTAAAATGCTAGAGATTCCAGTAACAGCGTTTAATTAAGAGTTAAATTAACCAACTTGAAACACTATTAATCTGTGGGGGTTTTCGTAAGTTTCTTTGGAAGACAGAGTCAGACAGATAACCAGAGCTCCCATCTGCTGGTTAACTCCTCAGATGTCTGCAATGTCTCAGACTATGCATGGAACTCCATTCAGGCAGGACCTCAATGACCTGAACCATCACCATTGCCTCCCAGGGAAGCTGACGTAGGGGCCCGATCCAGCCTGATCCGTATTCATTCTGATATGGAACATAGGCATACTGACTGGCATTATAACTGTGAGGCTAAAAGCCTGCTCCCAATCTGTGGGTTTTGACATAATCTTTTCTAATCACACAATGTAGCATTACTTTTGAGGACAATGTCACTATGCTATGTTATGTAAAAACTGAAACACTAAATTTTGTGATGCTGTCAGATCACAAGCATATCCAGCTAGAGCACTTTCAACTACCAGGAGTAATGAATACTTTGGGATATTTTTGTTCTGCATTCTAGTATATTTGCCCTCTGGCTGTAAACAAGTTATTTCATCCATCTGAACTTAAGTCTTCCTATTGGTAAAATGGAAATAATGCCTCCACAGAATTAAGTATACTTAGCAAATAATAGCTTTAAATTTTTTTACTTCTTTTTGGTTTGGATCCTTAGCAATCCTATCGGAGGGAACTGAGAGTGTCCACTTAAGCTTTAGAGGGCAAGTGGCAACAGTGGTATACCCCTAAGAGAGAACAAGATTCAGGATATAGTTAGGGCAGAGGTAACTACCCCCACATCTACAAAACAGATTTTGTCAAACTAATCCAAGATACACAACAAACTTTCTCCAGGGTACTGTTTATACTCCATGTCAGAATGCCAGCTTGAGTTCCAGCTGTTCCATTTCCAAGTCAGCCCCTGGTTACACATCTGGAAAAGCAGCAGAGGACGGCCCTGCAGCCATGAAGGAGACCCTGAGAGAGGCTAGCTGGTCCAGTGCCAGCCATTACAGACATGCGGGGACTGAACCAGCAGATGGAAGATTTCTCTTTCTGTTTCACACTCTCCCTGTAACTCTGGCTTTCAAATGAATAAATAATTTTTTTAAAGCTATCTGGCATCAAATATATAGGTGATGAAATTTACACAATCACAAAGCTACTTCATTAACTACTCTCGCTTGACACAGTAAATGCTGCTTTAGGTGACTGCTATAATTGCTTCTCAGCCTCTAGGCTAAGATCAAGTGAAGGTGCGTGCTATGATTACTTTGTAACTGTTACATTTAAATTGACCCAGTCACCCTTTATTCTGCTACTACTATTAAATTATAGATTCTTAGGCTCATCTCAACACAAACACCATCAAACAAAGCTAGACTGTCCACTGCTCTAGAAACCAGGTACTGATCTGATTCCAAAAGAACGGGATGAGTCCATCTGCCAAGGGTACTTCCTAAAGTCTTACATGGTTTTAAATTTCTTAATGCACATACAAAAATGTTACAGAAGACTGTTTCTCGTAATTTTCAGTGGAAACAGTGAGACCTGTATGAGTATCTATTCCAATAAATATGATTTAACACCTCAACTCCAACATTGCTTAAATGTGTTTTAAAAGCTTTTCAACACATAAAAGAGCAGTCCTGTTAATGTGACTCCTGAGAAACCTGTTAATTAAACTGCTGATTTTCCAACACAGTGCCATCATTCTGTACAATCAACTCAGAATCGTGAACAACTCAGCAGCATTAAACTCTCCTAAAAAATGGATCTTCATTTTCTTGCAAAGCTAGTTAAAATTTTAACAATCTCTCCTAGATATGCCTTATGTAATACTTGTTCTTTGGAAACACTGTGCAACCATCTATTGGAAGAAAATCAAATTACATTTTAAAATGCAATTTAGAGATTCCTTCTGCATGAGTAGAGAAGTAGAAAGGATTTTAAAAAGCAGGTGATCATCATGCTGATGTATTTTGTAAGTCCATTTAAAAATACTTATTTGGGTCCAGGTATGAATCACATGACAACTTCTGGGATACTTTCTAGTCTTGATTATATAGAAATGCTCCATAATTTTATGAAAATATTTTATAGGTTCTTGGGATATACCTTCTTTATTTATGAGGAAGAAAGAATTTTGTTAGGATTCTATAGGAATCACTTGCTGCAGAAGTTTCTTGGTCAAGGAGTTAAGAGCTCTAATTAGGAGAGTGTATTGGCTGGATATTTGGACTCAGGACATACCTTCCACGCTTCTGTGGGCTCTGGCTCAGCTTGTTCGGGCGGTTCTTCTTCCCTTTTGACCTCCACTGTCACTGTCTCCTTCTGTGCTGCCTTTTTGTCAGGTGCTCCTGGGACTTCTGACACCTGACTCTGAGCAATGGCTGGTGCAGAGGTGGGCCGAGGACTCCGGTCTGCTGAGTCTGCGGCTGCTGCTACGTGAGAAAGGGAAGAGTAAATGAAGACAAGGGCCACTGTAATACTTTAAAGTCATCAGACAAAGTAACTGAATCCAGGACACACAGGAACATTACAGAGGGTAAGATAGTAAATGGTTTGTGATCTGTAACTGTCAGTACCAAAGTATACTTAATAGAAACGCTAAGCTGTGCTGACTGAGGGCAGGCATTAGGCATAGTGGATAGGGTGTGTTCTGGGACCCCTCAATCCATATAGGAACACCTCAGTCCCAGCCACTGGAGGCAGCTGGGGAGTGAAACAACAGATGGGACTTCTCTCTTTCAAATACAAAAAAGTGAATCTCTTTTAAAATGCTGAGTACAGGAGGAAAAAGATCAAAGAAAAAGGAACTGAAAACCTGCTGGTCATCTGTCAGTTTAAAAAACTCACCATGTAGTCTTTGGAAGAAAACAAAAGTTAATTATATTTTTTTTTCTTGAAGTTTTATCAAAATAAAGACCCATTCATTTTTTTGGTGATTTCAGGAACCTAAATAATTTTAGGAAAGAGGAATTCAGTCTAGTTTCTTCTGTGAAGTCTTCTTGGAATCGTTACAAAACAATTTGATAAATGGCTCATCTGACACACGCTATATACATTTGGTGCTTGTAAGGGCAAATCTCTGAACCAGACACTTTCCCTGTAGTAATAAATCATGTTTAAAGTATTATGATTTCAGCATCTCTGGTTTTTGGTTTCTAAAACAAAACAAAAATACCTTTTGTGTTCTGTTCTATTCTTTCCCAGAGTTTTAACAACTTTTATTACAGTTCTATCTCTAAAATATTTAGAGCAATGTTCTCAACTGGGAGTGAGGTTAACTCCCAGAGAACATCTAGTACTATCTAGAAATGTATTTGGTTGTAACAGCCGGGAAAGAGAGACAGAGAGGATATGCTGGCGTCTAATATGCAGAGACTCTGGTGCCGAGGTTGATAATTTTGATTTAGGTAAACAGGCTCTGTAGACTGTTTAGGTGAGTATAAATAAAATGGGCTTAAAATAAAAGCCTCACCTTTCCCTTTCTTTTGTTATTGGAAAAGGCAGTTACACAGAGAGAAGGAGATACAGAAAGATCTTCCATCTGCTGGTTTACTCCCCAAGTGGCCACAATAGCTGGAGCTGAGCTGACCTGAAGCCAGGAGCCAGGAGCTTCTGCTGGTGCTCCCACATGGTTGCAGGTTCCCAAGGTCTTGGACCATTCTCTATTGCTTTCCCAAGCCACAAGCTGCATGGGAAGTGGAGAAGCCAGGACATGAACCAGTACCCATGTGGGATCTTGGTGTTTGCAAGGTGAGGATTTAGCCACTGGGCCATTACACCAGGCCCAAGCCTCACCTTTTCAAACATTTAATTATTTTTTTCTGGCATCTAAGCTTTAGATAGCTTATTTCAGACAACTGCTCACTTGCTCTTTTCTGTGGTTTTTATATTTAATTTTTCAGGGATTAAAAGAAAACATTTCCACATTCAATAGTAAGATCTCACTCATCCTAGATTGTCTAGGAATGAAGGTGTTTTCCTGCATGGTTTAATATTTCTGGGTACAGATCATGTACCTTCATGAAAAGAGATGGCTGAACTTGAATTATTCTTCTTGCAAAGCTTTTTAAAATTTAACTTAATCTTATTTGAAAGGTAGATTTACCAAGATAGAAGTAGAGACAGAGAGGGATCGTCCATCTACTGGTTCAAATCCAAATGGCCATATGGACAGAGCAGCACCAGTCTGAAGCCGGGAGCCTGCAGCCCCCAAGCACTTGGCACACCAGCAGGAAGCTGGCCCAGAAGTATAGTAGCCTGGACTCAAACTGGTACTCCTAAGGGATGCCAGCACCACAGGTGGAAGCTTCACTTGCAATGCCATGGCACCAGCCCCCTTGCAAATCTTTAAATTTTGTTCAGTGGCTATTTGGCTGAGTGGTCGGATGCCCTTAACAGCATCAGAATGACTGGGCTGAAGTTCTGATTCTGATGCCAGTTTTCTGATAATAAAAAATTCTGAAAGCAGCAATGATGGGTCAAGGGGCTGGGTCCCTGTCATCACCATGGGAGAGCTGATTGAACACTGGGCTCCCAGCTTCCACCTGGCCAGCCCCGGCTATCGTGGGCATTTAAGGAATGACAAGCTCCTCTGTTTGTCTTTCCCTTTAACTGTTTCTCTACATCTTAAAAAAAAAAAATCTTTGCCATTTTTATTGCATGTTTTTCTAACTTTTTATGCTAACTATAGTAAACATAATTTATCAATACATTTAGATTGGTAAGACATAAAGATTAAGTAGAAAAAAGGAATCTCTTGAATCAAACAAATGAAAAGAACTACTGAAATTCATAACTACTTCTTATACACAAAATCAAGAAAAGTAACCTAGAATGATCACAACAGAAGGAAACCATTTTTTAGAATGTGCATGGGGGGGTGGGGAGGCCTGGTGGTGTGACCTAGCGGCTAAAGTCCTTGCCTTGAATGTGCCAGGATCCCAAATGGGCGCCAGTTCTAATCTCGGCAGCTCCACTTCCCATCCAGCTCCCCGCTTATGGCCTGGGAAGGACGGCCCAAAGCTTTGGGACCCTGCACCCGTGTGGGAGACCCGGAAGAATTTCCTGGATCCTGGCTTCGGATTGGCATAGCATTGGCCGTGGTGCTCACTTGGGGAGTGAATCATCGGATGGAATCATCTGTCTCTCCTCCTCTCTATATATCTGACTTTCCAATAAATAAATAAGTCTTTAAAAAAAATAAAGAATGTACATGGGGAAAATAGTAGAAGTATAAGAATCCATTTTCCAATGAAAGATATGTGGTCTCCTGTTAGTTCCTGCCACCCAGGGGTAATTTCAGCCAGTCAAAGCAAAAATGGCAGATGGGATGGAAACTAACAACACAGGGGATTATGACAAAATATTTTGCTCACAGTTGTGCTAAAGTATCATTATACATGTGTATTCACACCTCCTCTCAAAGAATTAATTCAACTCTGCCTGGCATCATAGAAACATAGCCCATGCTTTCACCATGTGTTATTTTGCCATTTGCATTTGGTTTTAATCCAATGCTAATATTGCAGAGCCAAATAATTTATGTCTTTGGTATTCCTAGCTTTGGCAATCTGTACTGTATGTGGGAAAGTAGGCACAAGTGTGGAAATCAGCAGTTGGAAACAGAGTTCAAAACTCAAAAAATAGTAACATTATTACAAGAATCCTTAACCGTGAAAGGCAGCATGGGACAGAGACAAAAGCCAAAAGGTTCACTCTAATCACCATGCCAGTGTGATCTAGGCAGAGAGCTTAACTGCGGAAACTTTAATTTCATCATTTGTAAAATGTGGAAGCTATCAACCCTTAGGATAGTTGAGGATGGGATACTCAATGTGTATAAAATTCTTTATGAACTTTAAATATTAATAACAATTAATGTCTAAGTCCTTATTTCTTCCATTCTAATATCATTTCAAGAGTCTGTTGGGTAAAGTTAATTTTGCATACACTGATAGACAATTCAAATGAAAGATCACGTGAGAATCATGGAAAGAGGCAAACTTCTTTCATTTTCTCAGTAGGAAGAATACGGATTACAATAGACTATAATGGCAATTACCATGTGTTTTTTTTTAACATTTTTTATTGAGTTATAATTAATACCGTATAATTCATTCAAAGTATATAATTCAATGCTTTTAAATATATTTGGTGTTGAAATAGTGATTACTTTTTTTAAAAGTTTTTTTTTTAAATTTTTATTGTAAAGTTAGATATACAGAGGGAAGGAGAGACAGAGAGGAAGATCTTCCATCTGATGATTCACTCCCCAAGTGAGTCCAATGGCCGGTGCTATGCCGATCCGAAGCCAGGAGCCAGTAACTTCTTCCAGGTTTCCCACACGGGTGCAGAGTCCCAAGGCTTTGGGCTGCCCTCTACTGCTTTCCCAGGCCTCAAGCAGGGAGCTGGATGGGAAGTGGAGCAGCCAGGATCAGAACCAGAGCCCATATGGGATTCTGGAGCGTTCCATCAAGCACTTTAGCTGTTAGGCTACCCCGCCAGGCCCAACAGTGATTACTTTTTAAGATGTTCTGAGTCTTTAGTTCTGGTAACACATTGCTACCTATTATAAGATCTGATGCTAACATATAGAATATTTGACTTTAAAAATTCAGTGTCCCGGGCCCGGCGGCGTGGCCTAGCGGCTAAAGTCCTCGCCTTGAACGCCCCATATGGACGCTGGTTCTAATCCCAGCAGCTCCAGTTCCCATCCAGCTCCCTGCTTGTGGCCTGGGAAAGCAGTCGAGGACGGCCCAAAGCCTTGGGACCCTGAACCCGTGTGGGAAACCTGGAAGAAGTTCCTGGCTCCTGGCTTCGGATCGGCGTAGCATTGGCCGTGGTGCTCACTTGGGGAGTAAATCATCAGATGGAAGATCTTCCTCTCTGTCTCTCCTCCTCTCTGTACATCTGACTTTGCAATAAATAAATAAATCTTTAAAAAAAAATTCAGTATCCCCCTTCTGAAGGTCTGTAGACAAAGAAAAATTCTGGTAGTGTTACTGTTAAAGACCATTAATTTCAATATTGTAATGTTGGCTAATGCCAACTGAAACTTAGGTATACACTAGAGCATTAAACAGTGAGCCTCAGAACCATAATGTGCAGCAGAAGGAAACACTTAACCTCCAGCTTGTATAGTTTCTGCTAATATGGTACAGGTGCAGAAGGTATGCAATGGATTTGTAGCTCCATTGTCAGAGGGCTGCCCATACGAATTCTGTGGAACTTGAAAAACAACAATAAATAAAAGCCAGCTGATGCTCAGTCCTTAGCAGATGAGCTCTCCACGGATGAGCGTTGGATGTGTTTCGTTTTAAAGCTCTGATGACGGTAAGGCTGTATTCCCTGGCCAGAACCACTAAACACTATTCCCTGAAGGGGTGACCCACCTGGTTGTGTTACTCTAGTAAGTTACATAACTTCTGTGTGTGCCCCTGTTTCCACATGAGTAAAATAAAAAATCCTAAATGCTCATTCTTGATCACTAGATTGCTAATATGTGGAAATGGCTTTAAAATAAAAAAGAATAATAGAGCCGAAAAGTCCTTGTTATCATTATTGATTACCCTGGGAGCTGAGACAGTTTTGGCTCCTCAGCTGGAGAAGCGGGTGCTCTGAATGCCAGACGCAACAGAAAAGAAAGGGGAATGCTCAACTGCTTCATTACAGTGTGGCCCCCTACGAAGCATTCTTACAGAAAAGGTTTTGGGCCAGTGCTGTAGTAAGGTTGAATTAGTCTCTGCCTGCAGCACCTGCATCAAGGCTTGGCTGCTCCACTTCTGACCAACTTCCTGCTAAGGTGCCTGGGAAAGCAGCAGAGGACAGCCCAAGTGCTTGGGTCCCTGCACCTACGTGGCAAAACCGGAAGAAGCTATCTCACCCCAGGCTTCAGATAGATCCAGCTCTGGGAATTATGGCCATTTGAGGAGTGAATGAGTGGACAGAAGACCTCTCCTTCTTTCTCTCTCTCTGTAACTTTGCCTTTCAAATAAATAAAACCTTTAAAAAAAAGACAATGAACATATCTATTTCAATAAATTAGATAAAGAACAGTCCAATGCAGAGGTAGGCATGTATGTGGTGCGGTGGCTAAGCCACTAGATAGGTTCCCATTTTCCACCCCAGGGTGCCTGGGTTCACTGCTTGGCTCTGGCTCTTGATTTCAGCTTCCTGTGAGTCTGTCTTGCTCTCTTATAAATAAATAAAAACAGTAAAAAAGCAAAACAAAACAAAACAAAACAAAACAAAAAAAGCAACAGTGGTATGAAATGGTATGAATGACATTTTAAAAATGTACATTAGTAAATAAGAAAACCAAAATTTGGTTCTTTTAAAAGATTAACAATAGTCTAGCTGCTGAAGTCCTTGACCTGAACATGCAGGGATCCCATATGGGCACCGGTTCTAATCCCAGCAGCCCCGTTTCCCATCCAGCTCCCTGCATGAGGCCTGGGAAAGCAGTGGAGGATGGCCCAAGGCCTTGGGACCCTGCACCCGCATGGCACGCCCAGAGGAGGCTCAGGGTTCCTGGCTTCGGATTGGCACAGCTCAGGTCATTGTGACCACTTGGGGAATGAATCAAAGAACAGAAGATCTTCCTCTCTGCCTCTCTTGCTTTTTGTATATCTGACTTTCCAATAAAAAACAAATAAATCTTTTTAAAAAAAAGACTAACAATAGAATTCTAGCAAGACTGGTTAAGGGAAAAAAGAAATAATTTACTAATATTACGAATGCAAACAGGGCATTGCTATGGATGTTACAAACAAGTTACCCAGCTTTTAGTCAGTAACATTTTTGTCAATGAAAATTGAGATGGAACAGAGTATTCCTAGAAAAGCACAATTTATCAAAACTGAAGAAATAACCAGAAATCTTAGTAACCTCTTATCTCATAGACATTAAATCTGAAAGTAAAGAATTTTCTCATAAAGGGATCTTCCAAACACTAAGAAAGAAGTAACACCAATATTACCTAAACTATTGTAGCTCATGTAGGCTGAGGCATTGACAACAATATTAGAAGAAAGGAAAATTATGATCCATCTCTTCATTGCAAAAAAAATCTCAAAATTATACATATATAAAGAACACATTATGGGGGTTGGCAAGGTGGTACAGCACGATAATTCTCCACTCTGTGGCTCTCCCATTCCATTTGAGCATCAGCTAGTGTCCCAGCTGCTCCACTTACAATCCAGCTCTCTGCTCATGGCCTGGGAAAATAGCAGAGAAAAAGCAGTGGACAATGGCTCAAGTCATTAGGCCCCCAGGCACTCAGGTGGGGAGACAGGAAGAAACTTCTGGCTCTTGGCTTTGAATCAGCCCAGCCCTAGCCACTGCAGCCATTTTGCAGTGAACCAGCGGATGAAAGACCTTCTTATCTCTCTCAGTGTAACTGTGCCTTTCAAATAAAAACAAATCTTTTAAAAAATATGCAAAAAGTGTGGAACCAAGGGAATATACTTATAAAAACGAAGTAATCTTTATCTCCATCTCATTCCAAATGTAAAAGTAAATTCTAGATAAATTTACTTTAGATAATTCTGATGACCCTAATATAAGACAAACAATAGGGTTCTAGCAAACATCAGAGTATCTTCGTGATCATGGGTAGGCAAAAAAATTTTCTAAACAAAACTTCTTTTCTTACAACAAAGGAACAAAATGGGTAAATTGGGACCATGTTAAAAATAGAATTTCCATTAATCAGAAGATACCATTAAGAAAATGAAAATACAAGTCACAGAGTGGGAGAATGTACTGATAATATATATATCTGACTAAAGATTTACATCCAAAGTGTATTAACTCTCCAACAAGTCAGTAAGACAAGCAACTCAGCCAATATATGAGCAAAACATCTGAAAAGGTATCGAAGGTGTACATATCATTATTCAGAAACAATGGCCTAGACTTTCTGTATCTCCAATTCTACTCTTCTTTTAGATTTTCCTATTCCATTAAATGATGACGCTTAAGAATAACACTTAAGTATCTTCCCTTTACCGATTCTAATATTTATTAGCAATCAGCCCTACCTCCAAGATGTTAGCTATGCGCGATCACTTTTACTCTCTTTGTTGACATACTGAAAGCCAAGCTGTAGTCATCTATCACCTAGCTCCTGCAACAGCCTTTACTTCTGCTTTTACTCTCACTTTAGTGGCATATTCTCAGACTGAACTTTTTAAAAAAACTGGGTGTCTGGGGAGGAGTTTGGCCTACAGGCCAAGCTTCCAGTCTGGACACTGAGGGCGGCTGGTGCCAGCTTCCTGATAATGCAGAGATGGTGGTAAGGGCTCTAGAGTCTGGGCTCCTGTCAACCATGCGGAAGACCTAGACTGAGTTCCTGGCTGCTGCCCCTCTGTAGGATGCTGTAGCCAGCCATTTGGGGAACAAACCAGCAGATGGACACTCTGTCTTAATCTTTCAAGTAAATTAACAAATAAGAACAAATAATAAAATCTAAAGTAAAATTGAAATTGGAAATGTTTTATTTTATTACTTTATTATTTTATGTATTTAAAAGAGTTACAGAGAGAGGATAAGATAGAGAGCAAAAGATATTTCATCCACTGGCTCACTTTGTAAATGGTTATAACCACCAGGTTGAAATGAGGCCAAAGCCAGGAGCCTGGAACTCTACACAGGTCTCCCACACGGCTGACGGGGACCCATCTTCCACTGTTTTTCTAGGCACATTAGTCAGGAGCTGGATTGGAAGTGGACCAGCCAGAACTCAAACTGGTAAGCCATTTGGGATGTCAGCTTTGCAAACAGTAGCTTAACCCACTATGCCACAATGACAGCCCCTCACATGTAATACCTGTACATTTATAAGAGGTATAATACAATACTCTAACACATATACACACTGCAGTTCAAACCATCAACCTTAGCATTCATGAATTATGTTCTTAAGGTTACTTATTTTCTCTGTCCCTCAGGTTTTGCATACATGACATGAGGAAGTAGACTCTTCTTTCTTACTAGAAAAACAAATACTTACAAACATTTAAATGGTTATCACTTGTAATTCTAGTGTTGTTCGATCCATACCGCCTGGCAGTGTTCTAGTCATTACCCTCTTCTATCCTCAGTTCTCCTTTTCCTTAAGATAATTCCACTGAACTAGATATTTAATAAAATTCCTTCCACTTCTCCACTAACATTCTTTAACTTGGTTTACTTTTAGATAACTGTACGTCTTCTAACTCTCTCTAGTGATTGAGGGTCACAAGAAATTATTAATATTCAGTACAAACCTCCATCAAGGCTGCGGGAGGCCCGTTTGCTTGCTGTGCGCTCAAAGTGTGGGGCAGGCCTGTCAATGAGGGCACTGGCTTGCCTGGTCTGAGCCTGAGTCCGGCCACTGTATCGAAATTTGGATCCTAGGGCAAGAAATTTGCTTTTGGGAAGGGTGTCTGTTGATGTTAGTCTGGAAGAAAAAACATCATAATCACCATGTATTATATATACACCATCTCATTATCCCAAGACTATAATATTAAAAAAAATCTTTTCTCATTCTCAAGGCTTCCTTATAGTTAAGAGTTCTAATCAATCATTATTTTTTGTCATTTCTCATTTTAATTTAGTTGGTAGCCTATATTAATAATATCATTTATATCTTTATAGATAGGGCCTATGGTTTTCAGGATGCTTTTATAGCACCATAATATTTTCATTATTGCATCCCTGTAATATTTTCTTTATTTCAATGACACAGGAAACTGAACCTCAAGTAAGAAACTGGTTGCTTACGGTGCCATAGCTGCTAAAAGACTGGGCAGCAAACAGGCACAAAAGCTCAGCGCTCTTTTCCATTCTACTAGTATGTCAGTTGTGTCAAACGTTCTCCACGCTCAACAAATGTTTAGCAAACTGTTTAGTAGGCCATTTGGAGTATTTTCAGCTCAATTAAGAACCCCATCTTCTGATTTATTAATCTTTATGTTTCTATTTCTGGCATCGTGTCTGGCACCCAAATGTTTGTTGGCATTACAATGAATGTTGAATAAACAAATAAATTATTATATCAGCTATTACTAAAAAGAGATAAATATTTTCTCATTGGAATAGTTAACTATAATTCAGCAAACATGTACTTTCTTCCATGTAATGGACCTTTATGGCTTAACAGAGCCTCTTATTTCCATAAAACAGATTTAAATAGGCTATCCTACCTTAGCTGCAGCTGAAATTGATACTACAGACACCAAACAATCAAAATCTCTTTTTTACTCTTTCTTTTCCTTTTTAAAAACTCCATTTTCTTGGTTTGACTTTAAAGAGGAAGATAATGAAAGTATAAAAATGTATTAATGCTAATAACTAAGATTCCTTAATCAGAAAAAAAGTGCTGTCATATTTCATTCAGGAATGAGAACTGACACATTATTTTCTATAACTTTTCTTCCTGTTTACTGCACTACAATAATTGAGTATGATACAAAAATACAAAAGGATGAAAAATATGGCACAGTAATACCTCTCTCCCTAATCTCTTCCCTTTCACAGTGAGTCAAGTTTGAATAAAATTACATGCAGCTTGAGGTTTCCTTCAGAATAATAATCTGGGAAGTAGGAAGAAGGGGTAAGGATATGAGACAAGATCGCCCTTGGGCTACTGACCATTGGAGCCAGGTATAGATACAAGGGGAGTTCATTACACTGTAGCTACAAATAACATCTCCTGTAATAAAGAAATTTTCTTAAAAAGTCAAGCTGACAATAGCTACCTAGACAATAATTCCTCATCTTGTCTTTGCTAGACTGCATATCCCATTAGGCAGAAGCTAGAATTATTTCATGCTATATTCCCAATGACTAGCACAGTGCCTTACACAAGGGTACACATTCATAAAATGCTTAACAACAGAGGACAAGGGGTTAACAATGTGGACTCTCAAAAAGTAGAGGAAATGACCCTTGTGATTTTCTGGTAACTGGGCTTCAAAGATGGCTCTGTGGGGTCAATTAGAGCCAAGACAAAGATGAGCTTCACCTCTTGAACCTGTAGGATAAAAGTCCCAGATCAGGAGAGCATTGCTTACAGGAATTCCATGTGGAGCTGGGTGAGGAGAACCTTCTAAACAGGACTCACTTCAGCAAGAGCTAGGGCAGTCAGAGTCCTTTGTAAAGATAAATTCCTGTTCCTCACCTCTTCTAAAAGGGAAAGGTACTTTGAAAATTGAAGCATCTGGGGCTGGATCAACTGGCTGATTCTCTGCCTGCAAGCCCTGGCAGCCCCCATGGCACCAGCTGCTGCTCAACTTCTGATCCAGCTCTCTGCTTATGGCCTGGGAAAGCAGTGGAGGATGGCCCAAGTCCTTGAGTCCCTGCCCCCATGTGGGAGACCCTGAAGAAGCTTCTGGCTTCTACCTTCCAATCAGCTCAGCTCTGACTACTGAGGCCAGTTGCGAGGGATGGATCCACAGATGAAAGAGCTTTTTCTCTGTCTCTCCTTCTCTGTAAATCTGCCTTGCCAATAAAAAACAAATATACACTTAAAAATAAATAAATAAAATCAAGCATCTGTTTTCAACCTAAAGAGATAGAACTGAATTAATTTGGTCTTGCTTAGGATATTCTCAACTGAGCTATTTAAATAAGAGTGCCAGTCATACAATAAAAGGGAATTTCAATAGCAGGCTTAAAATAGATATAAGCATGAACAGTTTATCCTTGAAAAATATTTAAATGAGAATACCTGAAAAATGTGTGATGCTCTACACAGACTTTCCACAATTTCTTAGCTGCTCGATAGCTGGGAAGTTTGAACCCAATGGTACTTTCATATTGTTCTTGCTGCGAAAGCATAAACAAACATGGAGCACGAAGCATTACTCAACTGAGATGACACAGTATCAGAGAACTATGGTGCCACAAGAAGAGGCCACCATAAATAGAATGAATGCTACACATTTCAGGACACGTGAAAGCGTTTCCTACTTACCACAGAAGATGACTTACTGAGAATGGCTTCTTCTAAAATACGGCCATGGAACGCATCTTATGTTACTTATGCACCGTACTCAGAAAACCCACACAAACACAGAGTGCATTTTTCTGAGATAAAACTAAGTCACCATTTAATTGTTCAGACAGACATTTTCTCAAGTCACTATCTGCATTTGGGATACTAAACTGCTCTATGATCAAAGAGCAAGATGTACTAGTTACTAGATTTTTCTGGCTCAATGCAGACTCTTAAAATAATTGATGTTTATTTATATGTTTATTGTGTGTAACTTTTTTGGTATGCAATATGGAAAGGCTAAGCTGAGTTAATTAACATGCATTACTTCATATGTTTTTGTGTGTGTGTGTGGTGGAAACACTTAAGATTTACTCTATTGGGCCAGGCGGTGTGGCCTAGCAGCTAAAGTCGTCGCCTTGAACGCGCCAGAATCCCATATGGGTGCTGGTTCGTATCCTGGCAGCTCCACATCCCATCCAGCTCCCTGCTTGAGGCCTAGGAAAGCAGTAGAGGACAGCCCAAAGCTTTGGGACCCTGCACCTGCATGGGAGACCTGGAAGAAGTTCCTGGATCCTGGCTTCGGATCGGCATAGCATCGGCTGTTGCGTTCACTTGTGGAGTGAATCATCGGACGGAAGATCTTCCTCTCTGTCTCTCCTCATCTCTATCTGACTTTCCAATAAATAAATAAATCTTAAGAAAAACAAAAAGATTTACTCTATCAAATTGGAAGAATACACACTATTCTTAACTATTGTCACTGTGTTGCACAATATTTCTTGTGCACAATAGTCCCCTGATTACTGTTTTCTCTTGGATTGATTGTTATTTGATTAGAACGTCCCTGAAGCACATGGTGGGCTGCCAGGGCTACTAGAAACACGGTCCCATTGGTCTTGTTCCTTTTCGGTTCTACTTTCAGATTACTTTGTAAGATGAAAAGGAAACAGATATTTGTTTCATCAAGTTCCTGTATCATTGTGACAGTATCTATGCATTTTTACAAATGAGCAAGTCCAGAAGAGTTACTCATTTACTCTCACAGCTGTGAAATGACGGAATTTCCTTCTCTCCCATGTGCCACACGACCTTTAAATCACCTACTACAGACAGACAGCGCTGCTCCTCTCAAAGACTCTCCTGTCGCAGGAATCCTGCAATTCTGGTACATATTAAATTGACATTAATAGAAGCCAAGGACTTGCACTGTCATATTTATTAATTTGTGAATGTATGTGTGTATTTTCTGCTTATCTACATTAAAATGTCCAAATTGTTGAGGGATGAGACTCTAACCATTGTTATATTTCAAATTCCTAGACTATGGCCTGGTACAGGAAAATCCTTCAATAAATATTTGTTGAATAAATGACTCTTGGCTTTGATTGCTCTCCGCACAGGAAAATAATTATGGCACAAAATAAATGCTGCAGTGATAACTACTTAAGACGTTTAAGGCCGAGCATCCAGAATTTCAAGACTTAAATCCTGAGCCATTTCTCACCAGCAGATGGCGATATACACACACTAAAAGCCATCTGATGTCAGTACGGATTTTTCTTGTTTTACAGAGCTTTTAACAGCGTTTATCCCATTTCATCTGGAAAACAGTTTTGACAGTTACTTCATCTGAATGATAAAGAAAATGAGCTTCAGATCTGTTTAGCACCTTCTGCTTAGTAAGTAGCAGAGAAGGAGCTAGAGGGTTTTAAAAAAAGTTATTCCCACTCAAAGATTCTGTTGTGTTAGATTTTGCCCAAAAATTGGCCTGTATTAGTATATCTTTAAATTTGACCTTCAACTAATAACTGAGCTATCACATAAAATCATAAACACCCAATTGTATTAAAAATCTATACTTTGATCCTAGAATACATTCTCAGGAACCACTAAAATTATATAAATAAAACATTTAAATGAATTTTAATTTTATGATTGAGATAGGGTGATGTTGGCACAAAACATGAGTAAATCAACTCCTCTCAAATTCAGGGCTTCTCAATTTTCAAGTATTTTTTCTAACAAGTTTTCACCTGGAATAAGCAATTCTACTTTAGGTTTTGGCAATGCTAAGCTGACTTCCAGGAAGAGAAAGGTCAGACAATCAGCAGCACCCCAGGAATGATAAATTTAGAAAACAGTATTTCCAGCTCTTGAGTAGTTAGCTATACAGATCTCCTAGATGATGGAGCAAGGAAAACAGGAACACACATGTTTTAGATATAACTTGTGCTTGGTTTGGGAAGAAAGAAACGGCAATTCTGTACCTCTCCAGGACGAATCTTGATGAAGAAGCTGCTACGTTTGTAAGAAATCTTCAGCACTTTAGGCCAAGGAAAGCGGTTAATTCTCAGCTTATCTTTGTAAACCAGAAGGCCGCTAGAGCAGACACCTAGGATGATATCTACGCCCTCCAAGTCCTGAGAAAGAAAACCATTAGCATTCAGCTTTAACCAAAGCGCTCAGCACACTACTATTATTAGGTAATTTGAAAAAAAAATCAATAACCTAAAACAGTTACAAAGTATACAATGAAAAGTAAAGTTCAACCTAACCATCACATCTGTTTGACTATTATGTTTAAGTGGGCAGACATGATTTCCCGGAGGTCAAGATTTAACAGCTATGTACCCTACTACGTATTCATAAGCAATTATAATTCTCTTTATTTTAATGAAAAAGCATAATTCCTCCAGAAAGGAAGATTTCGGAGTTGACTTTTCCTGTAAAAAGTCAATATAAAAGAATTTCAGATTATTATAACAACTGATATTCAATATCAAATTATCAAAATTATCCCTAAGCCAGGAAGGGATATTAAGGTAAAATGAAGATATAGTTTCATGCTTCTTTATTAAAGAATTCTTAAAGAAATTAAAAAAAATTTAAACATATAATATTTAGGTCTGCAACTGAAGGAAAATAAAATTTATCTGAATTAGTCTCTACAGATGACTACTTGTTTAGCTAGGCAATCAAATCCAGAGTTAAGTGCTTCTTGGTTACCCTCTCTCAAATTCAGCACAGTAAAACACACCAGTGCCAACATGGGTTATGCACACACGACAGAGAAGCAGAAACGACATCCAGCATCGATGACTACATAGCTGAGACTTTCGAAGCAGCCCTCTTCAAGGCTTTACAGTCTGTGTGTACAACTGTTATCTTTTAAATGGATGCTTCAGAGAGGCAGTTTGCTTTACATTTGGGAAAGAATATGTCAACTGTCTCTTCCATCTATTCCTGAATTAATGCCAGTATCCAGCAGGAACTGAAAAGCAAAACCTCACAATTTCAAGTCTGGAAATACACCTGATATGATGTCCTGATTTTTCTACTGTTTACTTTACAGATTCATAAAAGTTATAATTCCTAGTTCTCTTTGTTCTTAAGAATAATCACTCACATGCAACAAAATTTTGTCGTAATTAATAAATTTAAATAGATTATCTTCAGGACAGGAGAACCCTGAATGCTCTAGTTCAGTTACACAGATGTGTAGACGTCTTTTATAAATTCCTATCTAGTGCTATTTTCCTCTTCCTGGAACACCTGCAGAGACAAGGAGGTCACTGTCCACTCAAGTATCTCATCCCGTCTTGGAACAGCTCTGCCCAATTTGTCAAATTTAGCTGAACAACATCGTTCCTGTAGTTCTCATCTCTAGCTTGGATCTTAGACTCACACTAAAATCTCCCTTTCTTACACACTCCTTCAAATGTCTGAATGAACTCCTAACATTCCCTTGAGCCCCTGACCCTCACAACCCATTCAGTCTCACCAGACATTTTAGATGCTGAAGATGAGAAATCAAGCGAGTTGTCAATGTATATTTTCAAATGCAACTGCTTCTTAGGAAACTAAAATTTGTTTTTTTCTAGGTGCTATATCATTTGATCTTAGAAGTGGCATAGATGTGAAACTTTATTCTGATGGTGGAATCGCTAATGGCTAAATTCAACAGACATTTGATTGATTGAATCAATACACTTAACAATCCTGACAAAAACTTCTATCTCTTGAATACTCTATAGTACTCAGATAAACATTGGTGTGGCACAGGTGCTTCCTTAGTCTATTTTCTACTGTTACAACAAAATACACAAGACTGAGTACTTTCTGAAGAAAAAAAACCAGCTTATTTGGTTTATGGTTTGGAGGTTCAGGAGCCTGGAGTTGACATCTGCTTGGCTCTATGGGATCTCTCTGGTTCCATCACAGCATGAACTGCATCATGGTGGACAGACACTGTGCAGAAGAGATTCAGGCAGAGTGCTGGGCTCCCTTAAAACAACCCATTCGTGGTTACAGGAACTAACCCAGACCCAGGAGATCTACACTAAACCCTTCAAAGAGCGGAGCCATCATAACATTACCTGCAACTAGACCCCACCTCTTAAAGGTTGCACTGCCTCACAGCATGACCACACTGGGGACCAAGCCCCCAGCAAGGGACCTTTGGTAGTACACTCAGCCCATCTCCAACCTACAGCAGATGAGCTACCAGAACAGACTTGTGTCAAATCATGCATACACGTGAATGTTAATAAAAGCCAAAGTTAACATTGTCTTACCTTTGCTTTATGAAGATCAACTCCATACATAGACAACTTTTTGGCATTCTCAAGAAATTCCAAATCAGCTTGGGCTGGAGTCATGGACCTTTAGTAGAATAAAAATGAAAAATTCTTCATGCGTCGATATTTATGGTAATAACATGTATATTATTTGTACCTTATATGTACACAAACATACATATATACTACAATGTATATAACATATGTGACAGCCATAAAGTAGAATGTACGGAACAGGGCTTCAACTACTACCTGTATTTAAATAATCACAAAGGCTTTAGAAAAGGAGAGAGCTTGGGGAAACCAAAACTCAAAACTCTTGTTAGAAAAAAAAAATTAATTCTACTCAACAATTTCCTTAGAGCTATCTTATCCATCATCAGTTCTGCCCTCCTCTTTTCAGCCTTTTTCTTCAACACATATGAACTCCTCCCATTAATTTTCTTGCCAAGGAGATGAACAAATTGAATTCTCTACGGGCATGGCGCAATTTACAATATCCTCTTAGCTGCCCTTTTCTCTCCCTATGCCTGAATTGAGTTATTATGAAAATTAAACAAGAGGGCAGCTGATGTTACTTAACTTGGACTCTTAATGGGGGCAGGCTTGATGAAAAGAACATTTCTGGTAACAGATGGTGTCCTGCCCACTGTTCTAAACAAAATAAATTGGTTATTAGCAGCACATAGATAATGGGGCTGCATTTTGTTATTATGATGTCTTCATTACGAAACATATAATGAATTAGATTTGTTTGAAAACAATCAGTCTCACTGAACACTGTGCTGATCTTTCCTTCTCCTTTACAAGTTCTGCTCCTTTTAAAATGTGCTCACAGTTACGCTGTACTTGCGGAGGAAGATATGACTCCTAATGCTGCATAATTCAGACCAATCAAATCTTGCTACTTCATAGTAACAATATCATAGCCTTGGTCCCCAAAGAGAAAACACATAAATGCCAGTTTCCCAAAAGACAGCCTCCATCTATAAAAAGCAGCAGGGGTCTCTTCATATAACAAGGAGTAGCCTCTTCCAACCCCATCTGTCTTTACCCTCATTAAAATGAACAAAAGATTCCTTAGAACAACAACCACAAGAAAAAACGATCCCAGGCGAGGCGATGTGTTATGATGCAGCCTCCCTGATCCCTGAGTAAACTTCTTAGAACAATCTTAAAAGCATCATATCTGAATTCTATTTATGAAGAGGGGTCTGCAGCTCAAAACGGACAAAGGAGAATGGGAAAAGCAGCCTCTAGGTAAGTCCATATGCTCTAGTCATTAAAAACATCTCAGGAAACCTCCGTGGTTTCATTTTTTTCCCCATATAGAATACATAACTTTCTAGTTAAGGTTCTCTCAAATTATTTTGTTTTCTGGTACTCTAATCAACAGGGTGAATTTGGGGGTCCTGAAACGAGTACAGCAAGAGGATTAAAGAGTCTAAAATTGAAGAAACAGATCCAGGGGATCACATGGTTAGAAGCAGGTTAAGACGCTTAGTGTGAGAGAGCAGACTTAATTTAGGCCTCTAGTCACATGGGCTGGAAATCTGGCTTCTGCATTTGTGAGTGGTGAGCCTGTGTCTCCCTAATTTCCTCTGTGAAGTAAGAATCATAATAATAACTATTTCCAGACACCAGAACAGGCAATGATGTTTGGAAGAGATAGGTGGTGGGCCTTGGATGAATGAATGAATGAGCAAATGAATGTGACTATTAGAATTAAATGAGTCAATGGCTATAAAACTGCTATGCACCCTATAAATGTTTATTATTATTGCAATTTTAGTTTTTTTAGCCCAGTGATCCAATTATACACAGATCACAAAGTAAAAATCAAGAGAAACGATTTATATCAGTTGAATTTTTATTTATTTATTTATTTTTTGTTTTGTTTGCTTTTTTTTTTAAAGATTTATTTTTATTATTTTTTTATTGGAAAGGCGGATATACAGAGAGGAGAGACAGAGAGGAAGATCTTCCATCTGATCATTCACTCCTCAAGTGAGTGCAACGGGCCGATACTATGCCGATCCGAAGCCAGGAGCCTCTTCCGGGTCTCCCACACGGGTGCAGGGTCCCAAAGCTTTGGGCCGTCCTCGACTGCTTTCCCAGGCCACAGGCAGGGAGCTGGAAGGGAAGCGGGGCTGCCTGGATTAAAACCGGCGCCCATATGGGATCCCGGGCGTGCAAGGCGAGGACCTTTAACCACTTGCGCCACCGCGCCGGGCCCTGTTTGCTTTTTTTTAAGATTTATTTTATTTTTATTGGAAAGGCGGATATACAGAGAGGAGAGACAGAGAGGAAGATCTTCCATCCGATGATTCATTCCCCAAGTGAGCGCAATGGCCGATGCTATGCCGATCTGAAGCCAAGAGCCTCTTCCAGGTCTCCCATGCAGGTACAGGATCCCAAAGCTTTGGGATGTCCTCGACTGCTTTTCCGGGCCACAGGCAGGGAGCTGGATGAGAAGCAGGGCCGCCGGGATTAGAACCAGAGCCCATATGAGATCCCGGGCGTGCAAGGCGAGGACCTTTAACCACTTGCGCCACCGCGCCGGGCCCATAGAGTTGAATTTTTAAAAGTAAATGTGCATGATGCCTCAGCTGGCTAATCCTCTATCTCTAAGCGCTGGGATCTCATGTGAGGTAAGGTTCATGTCCCAGCTGCCTCATCTCCAATCCATTTTCCTGCTTGGGAAAGTCAGGAGGACGGCTCAAGTCCTTGGGAGCCTGTACCTGATCCTGGCTCCTGGCTTTAGATTGGCTCAGCTCCTGTCTTTGCAGCCATTTTGAGAGTGAACCAATGGATAGAGATCTCTTTCTGTCTCACCCTGTTCCCCCAGCTCTGTAACTGTGACCTTTAAATAAAATAAACTTTTTTAAAAAAAAAAAAAAGATACTTACTTTTATTTGAAAGGCAGAGTTTAGAGATTTTACAGAGAAGCAGAGATTGAAAGAAGGAGCACAGGATTGGAAGTGGAGCAGCTGGGAGTGCTGCAAGGTAGAGAATAGCCTGTTGAACCACCGCCCCACAATTCACTATTTGTAAGGACTGCAGCTTAGAAAAGTAGTTAGGGAACTCTGGCACTGGCTAACTTTTACTCATTTAAAAGAGAAGTAATGGGCCAGGCATGGTAGCCTAGCAGCTGAAGTCCTTGCCTTGCATACACTAGGATCCCATGTGGGCGCCAGTTCTAGTCCTTGTAATCCCACTTCCCATCCAGCTCCCTGCTTGTGGCCTGGGAAAGCAGTTGAGGATGGCCCAAAGCCCTGGAACCCTGCGCCCACACTGGAGGCCTGAAGGAGACTCCAGGTTCCTGGCTTTGAATTGGCACAGCTCTGGCCATTCCAGCCACTTGGGCAGTCAATCACCAGACAGAAGATCTTCCTCTCTGTCTCTCTTCCTCTCTGTATATCTCACTTTCAAATAAATAAGATAAATCTTTTTTTAAAAGAGAGAAAGTATGACCAATTTTCCAAGTATTGATTTATTTTAAGTAAATGAGGTCAAGTAGACCATGCAGTGAGTTTCAGTGTTACTTGATAATGTGGTCTGCATCTCCTAATTAAGGATCATGATTTCAAATAATTAAATGGGGGACAACTGACAAGTTTACATACTTTACTAATGCCCATAATGGAGGGTAATTAATTTTTAAGCTTGATTTGCTAACATAAAGTTGTTAATTATAGCTTCAAAATCTCAGTCTGGGCAAAGGGCCACTACTAAGGGTTACACGTGCATAGGCTGTCTTCTATGTCTCTGAGGAGGAGGGTGGCATAATTCTGTTCCTTTCAACACATAGTAAAATGCTTATGTTCCAGCAGAAGTTCTCCGGGATAGTGCAAACATCATGTTCTTGGACATACACACTTCACTTGGTTTTCTATAAGACAGAGCTGTCAATCTGTCTGGAGAGGAGAAAAGGAACTCCACGTCAACTTCTAAATTCTCTAGCCACACAGGTCCGTTCCTGTCCAATTCTACTGAACAGCTGACAGGACACCTGCCAGGCCACAACTCTGTCCTTCCCGATACGTCACTCTTCTCAGTCACAATTCCTCCAAATTCCAAGACTTTTCAGTTCTAGACTCACATTTGTCATTTGTAAAATGAGAATAAAATCACTATGTTGATAGTAAACATCTGAACATTTTTTGCTTTTTTGTGCTATAAGCACTTTACATCAATTTTATGATTCAACAATTATAAAACTCACACGATCATTTCCACTTTGATAAGAAGAAAACCTAAAGGGCTTAAAGTAACGGAGAGTCATACAGCTATCATGAAGAGAGCACAAATGCACAATGCTTCGACGACTAACTCCAGGGTCCACATTTTTCACTGTGGTGCCCTGTCACCTATCCCGGTGACCCCCAGACTTTTGGTCTTAGGACTTCTTTACTCTCTTAATTATTGAAGGCTCCAAAAGCTGTTTCTTCATGTCTATCTATTATTTACTATATTAACAATTTTAAAGCTACTTTGTAAAAGTCAAAATATTTATTCCCTAAATAACAATAAACTCACTAAATTTTAAGAGTAATAATATCATTTGTGAAAACTAACAATATTATCTCAAAAATGGAATGAATGGTGGTATCGTTTTACATATTTACAAACCTTGTTAAATGCATGGCCTTAAAAGAAAGCTGAATTTTCCTAGCTGCTTCTGCATTTAATCTGTTGCAATATATTAATTTAGTAGGAGTATATAGAAAAATCTGGTCTCACACAGATATACGGCCAGAAAAGGAAGGGTTGAGAATTTAATGTACTATTCTTTGGGGTCAGGCATTCTGCCTGAGGATTGTGTCAGATCAGATTTTCTGGGTTGGATCCCTGGCTCTGACTTCTTCCCCCAGCTTTCTCCTAATGCAAACCCTAGGAGGGTGTGGTGATGACTCAAACAATTGTATTCCTGCCACCCACACAGGAAACTTGGACTACGTTCCCAGCTCCCAGAGAGGGTTTGGTTTTAGCCTTGACCTAATGGACACTTAAGAGCTAAAGCAGCAGATGAGGTCTTTCTGTCTTGCTTAAGAGTTGAGGTAGGCAGTTAGTCTGTCCCGCACTGGAGCTGCAGAGCTCCATTCCCACCTCCGGCTCCTGATCCCACCTCCCTGCCTCCTGATCACTGTGAGCGGCAGTGCTGATGGCTCAGGTGGATTTCTGCCACTCATGTGGAAGACCTCGATTCCCAGACTGCAGCCTCGTTCCCTTCCCTCCCTCACAACGTGGGTGAATTAAATTATTTGTGTTGTACATAGCTCAAATGAGAGTGCTGAGTTAACTCTCCTCTACTCCATGCCTCCAATGTAGTTTCTTACTAACAGACCTAGGAAGCAAGAGTTATTGATTCAAGCACTTGGGTTCTTGCCACCACACGAGACCCAGATATGGTTCTAGGCTCTCAGCTTCCATCTGACCTACCCCTAGCCGATGTGGACATTTGGGCACTGAACCAGAAAATGAAAGATATTCCTCTCTCTGACCCAGACTTTATAATCATGATATTGTAATAAATCTATTATTCTGATTGCTTTTCTCCCATACTTGTTTTTGTACTTATGTGCTTCATATATTTTATACACAATAAATTTTTATAATCATAATTAGAAAATATAGTACTAAAATGTAGTCAAAGATAACACAACATCCTTATGTTACAATCATTAACAGGTTTGAGAGTGGTTGGTCAGTGGTCCAAATATCAGAGCACTGGGTTGTACAAGCCAAAAATGAAAAACAAACTGGCAGTTTTCTTCATAAACAGTATGACCCCAAACGAGCTGGGTGGTCGTCAGAAGTCTATAACTTTGTAGGTTATAAACTTCAAATCCTTACCCTGAGTCTCATGACAAGTGGCCAAACTTACAGGGACAACAGGCACGCAGAACTGGGCCGGAGTCGGGGGCATCCTGAGCTAAGCCTTTCTTATTTGAAGCATTCCAATCATTGCAACCTTAATGGTACTTTCCAAGGAATAATTTGGTTCAATGACTAGATAGAATAGTTGTTAACACCATGGCAAACGACGAGACCACTCTTTAAATTTTCTGGAATTTTCCTTGAGCAATGTGACCTTTTAAAAACCGGTAATCTAACTCAGAATATGAACTCAAGGCCAGCATTAGACTTTCACAGTAATAGACTGAGACGGTTTGTAAAACTCGGGTGCAGCGAGTGACTCAAGTAAAAAGGCATGTATGATAGTAAGAAACACGAATTACTCTTGCACTTTAATCATTAGCCAACATTTATGGAATTTGTATTAAGTGAAAAATATGGTGACATTCTATCCGGTGTTTTATACACAATATTACCTTTTCCAAACCTAAAAGTGACCCTGTATCTTCTTAGGTAATAATCTCTATCAGTCACAGGCAACTTGAGGCTAAGAGATTAGAATTAAGTTACTTGAGGTCACAAGGCTGGGGCAAAGCAGAGCTAAGATTTCAAGCTCAGACAGCCTATAAACCTTTGCCTCTGATCACTGTGTCATGATACCTCCCACCAACAACTGATTTCATAAAGAAAAAGCAGCACAATGAATTCAGTAAGGACCTTCACAAACGTCTTAAGAGGATTCACAGACCTTCTGAAATCTATTCACGTTTGTAGATTTCAAACTAAAACTTCCCTGTCATTAAGATTTCAAGGCACATTATATAGCGTAAGTTTAAAATCTCTGGGGAAAAAGTCAAGGTTTGCTCTAGCAGTTAAGCCAACGCTTGGGATAACCATATCCCATATCAGAGTGCTTGGATTGTAGTTCTGCCTCTTCCTGATTCTAGCTTTCTGCTGATGAATACCTAGGGGAAGTAACAATATAACTAAACAACAATTACATAATTCAAGTAACCTAGTCCTTGCCACCCCTGCAGGAGATTTGGACTGAATTCCTGACTCTTGGCTTCAGTCTAGACCAGCCCCAGCACTGTACACATTTAGGGAGTGAATCACTGATGAGATGAGAGCTCTCCTCTCTCTCTCTCTCTTGTTTATATCTTGTTTATCCATCTCCCTCAAGTCATAAAAATAGGTTTCTTTTTTTTTTTTAAATAAAGACCTTTTTTTTTTTTTTAAAGAAAAGGCAACAGCAACAGTATTTATCACCTACTGAGTACCTACTATGTTCCAGACATTTTGTTAAGTGCTCTATCTCATTTAGCTTTCATCCCATAATGCAATGCCCATTATTTTGTCAAGAAAATATGCTCCAAGAGTTTAAATGACTCCCCAAAGTTAAACAGTGGAGAGAAGTTCATGTTGACTCTTTCTATGGCACTTCTTAGGCAAACAATGAATCAGCAGAGGGTCAAGGGTTTAGATTTAATGCCAAAGCTACATAGGACAAACCCTGGAGCCACACTCACCTGTATGATTTATGCAGTTCCATGACCTTCTCTTCAAGTTCCTTGGTCTGATTTGGAGCCAGTTTAAATTCACTGACATAATCCACGCCGTGGAGTTCTGGATCGTAGTCTCCCAACTCAGACTGGATGGTATAAGAACCTAACAATGCTAAGGTTGCAAAGGAACATGGCAGACGTCCTGAAACTATGTCCTGGCGAAGTTGAAGACATAAGTAGTATCTACAATCAAAAAAGAAAAGATGTCTTCAGGTCAACAGGAACAATATTAATGATAAAATAGAGAAAATGGAAGAAAGGGGGAGTGTATGAGGAGGGAGGCTAAGAAGAAAAATAAAAAAAAGATTAACGAAGAGATAATACAGGTCATTAATAACTGTTCAGTGTAGGCAGTGAGCAAATGGTAGTTCATTGTATCATCATCTCTTCCTTTTGGTATGTTTGAAATTTTCCCATAATAAACACAAACAGATATTGTAACTGTGTGAGACTCACAGTAGAATGCAGAAAAGACAAAAAGTTGGGAAAGTCTGAAGGAGGTAAAGGAACCAATATTTTGCTGAGTACCACAGATACAGAAATTATCTGAACTAAGCCCCCAAAAGAAGACAAAGAATAAAAACGGGTGAGATTCATGGTCAGATTATAGGAGAGGAGGTAACCTATGGGCTTGACTTGCTCAATGCTAGGTAATAATGAAGACTGCTTGCCTCCCACACAAGTGCTTTCTTTTCTATCACTCGGTTTTGAATGTACAGATACCGTCCTTGATGTATATAGATGACACTGTTGACGCATTTTCACCAGGATGTAATCTTTCTGGTGTCTTTTTCCTCCAAGGTGGGCTAAATTGCATGTAATCTTCCATACACTAGCCATCACCTTGTATGACTAACTTTACTAACTACTAGGAATTCAGAGAAGCAATCAAAATAGGGCAATTCAACAAACCAACCAAGCAACTGAACGTGTACAAAAAACTATCAGGATAATGTGCACAAGGCCCTGATCTTGCTACTTGTTCTGACTGAGTTGACTGATTCAGCCTGTTTAAACAGGAAAGTATAATTAAGCTGAAAATACCAATATTAGAATCCTTTTTTAAAAATCATAAGCTGTTGACTAACATAAGCAACAGTGTTTGCTATCTGTTGCTACCTCTAATTAATCGCTGCCTTCTTTTTCTAAAGGGGTAGGCATTGTGGCCTAGCACGCTAAGCCACCGTCTGGAATGCCTGCATTTCATACCAGAGTGCTTAACAGCTCCCTACTGATGCCCCTGGGAGGCAGCAGATGCTGACCTACGTACTCCACTCAGGTAGGATACCCTAATGAAGTTCTTGCCTTCTGGCCTCAGGCTGGTCCAGCCCTGGCTGTGGTGGTCATGTAGGAATCAAATCAGGAAATGAAAGATCCTTCTCCTCTCTGTCACTCTGTCTTTCAAATATGGAAATAAATCTTAAAAAACAAAAGAAAAAAAAGAAAAGCAATGCCGACCAAGTCACAGGCATTTTTTTTAAGATTGATTTATTTGTTATTCAAAAGGCAGATTTTACAGAGAACAGTTGAGACAGAAAGATCTTTGCTGATTCATTCCCCAAGTGGCCACAATGTCTGGAGCTGAGCCAATTCAAAGCCAGAAGCTTCCTTTGGGTTTCCCACATAGCTACACGATTCCAAGGCTTTGGGCCATCCTTCACTGCCTTTCCAGGTCATAAGCAGGGAGCTGGATGGAAAGTGGAGCAGTCGAGACACGAACTGGCACCCATATGGAATCCCAGTGCATACAAGTAGGGATTTAGCCATTGAGCCATCACACCAGGCCCAAGCTCACAAAAGTTTTAAAGACCCCCTAATGTAGATAATCAGTAAAGTTTATCAGGGATATGTTTTGTTTTATATAAATGAATAAAGATGAAGAAGTAGCAACTTTGAGACAAATCTCACCCATGAAAAAGCAATAAGCAACATATAAATTTCAGGCAGATACGGGATCTCAACTTCAAGAATTTATTAGGAATGACTAGACAACAAAGCATATTTTTTCCCCCTTTATATGCTCTCTAATTGTTATTATTTTCCCATGATATAGTCATGTAGTTATATAGAATCTCCCCATCTTCTTTCCCCACCCCCATCGCCATATTCCCTCATATCATTATAACATGCTCTTTCAGCAACATCACAAGCCCAATACTGTTATTTAAGTGTAGTATGGCCAGATGGTAGAAAATAGAGTATCAAATTGTCAACGTCTATTTAACAGTTTTTTGCCTATTGGATAAATTCCTAGTTGGGATGCCCTCATTCGTATCAGAGTGCATGGGGTCAAATCCAAGCTCTGCTCTTGACTCCAGCTTCCTGCTAACATACATCCTGGGAGACAGCAGGTGATAGCAAATGATTGGGTCCATGCTACTCACACGGGAGATGTGAATTCAGCTGGGCTGCTGCAGAAATTTTGGAAATAAGGGGATAGAAGATTTCGCTCTGTTTCTGTCTCTTTGTTTTGCAAAGATATAAAAATCAGAAAAAAAAATTCAGAAGAAAAGTTTAGTCTACTCTTTTATTTGAGAGAGATGAAAATTGAGGTCTAGAGATGAGGTTATAAACTCATCTGAAAACAGAGTTAATAGCAAAGAAGAACTGAAAGCAGTTTCTCAACAACTAACAGGAAAATTTAACATTTGCTAAGGACCTGTGATGTATGAAGCTCCATGAAAGATGGATATACCATGTACAGCATTACTCTTTATATCGTTTTTCTACTTTTTGATTAATATTTTTTATAGAATCCAATAAAAGCCACTTTCTCAAATCAGCAGGCTGATTTTAAAGAGCATTAAGATAATTTCATAAATTATATGGAATTGGATCTGGTGTGATGGCTCAGCGTCTAAATCCTCGCCTTGAATGTGCCGAGATCCCCTGTGGGTGCCAGTATGTGTCTCCTGGCTGCTCCACTTCCCATCCAGCTCCCTGCTTCTGGCCTTAAAAAGCAGTCGAGGATGGCCCAAAGCCTTGGGACCTTGCATCCATGTGGGAGGCCTATAAGAAGTTCCTGGTTCCTGCCTTTGGATTAGCTCAGCTCCAGCCGTTACGACCATTTAGAGAGTGAACCAGCAAACGGAAGATCTTTCTGTCTCTCCTTTCTGTAAATATGCCTTTCCAATAAATAAATAAATAAATAAATATCTTTATAAAATAAAATAAATGATGTGGACTCAACACAAGATTCACATGATGCTCATGCCCTTGATCATATACTTTAAAAGGGAGCTAAGAATCAAAACTAGTAACACTGAGACTGTTAGACTTCCTGTTTCCTGTAAAAAGAAACATGGTAGGAAAGGAGTATAAAAAAAACCAACAGAAAACATCAAAAGGGCAGGTGTTTGGTATAGTGGTTGTTGGGCTCACATCTCCTGTTGAGTGCAGGGTTTGATGCCCAGGCCCACTTTCTAGTCTAGCTTCCTGGTAATGTATTCTTGGAAGACAGCAGGTAACAGGTGCCTTTGGGTCCCTGCCACCCTGTGGGCTGAGTTCCCAGCTCTCCCTTTGCCTGACCTGTGAGCATCTGGGGAGCAAAGTCAGTCTCTCTCAAATAAGCAAAATGAATGAATTGGTAACATTTTTAAAAACACTAGCAGGGCCCGGCGCGGTGGCGCAAGTGGTTAAAGGTCCTCGCCTTGCACGCCCGGGATCCCATATGGCCGCCAGTTCTAATCCCAGCAGCCCTGCTTCCCTTCCAGCTCCCTGCCCGTGGCCCGGGAAGGCAGTGGAGGACGGCCCAAAGCTTTGGGACCCTGCACCCACGTGTGGGAGACCCGGAAGAGGCTCCTGGCTTCGGATCGGCATAGCATCGGCCCGTTGCGCTCACTTGGGGAGTGAATCATCGGATGGAAGATCTTCCTCTCTGTCTCTCCTCTCTGTATACCTGCCTTTCCAATAAAAAAATAATAATAAAAATAAATCTTAAAAAAAAAAAAAACACTAGCAAACCACTTTACCGTTATATTTGTGTCATACCCTTCGGAGGGTGATGTGGCGTGCAGAAGTCCTGCCAATAACTTGATGTAACACCCACAATAGGTACTACTACTTCCTCTGCTGGTTTCTTCCAGGCAGGTCACACAGTTGAAGCTTATTAGTTCATTATTTGCAAGCCTGCTTTGAACTGATGGGAAAATTTCTATCTTAGGCTAATAGTTCATGATTTCTTCTCAAATTTGAATAAGAAAATCTCCAGAGTTTATGGCAATGAGAATTATTACATACCTGACTATCAATTGATAAAATTATTTACCTTGTTATATCTTCAGTTAACTGTGCTGGGTCAGGTGGATAAAACTTCACATTAAACGTGAAATTCCAAGGAATACCTGTAAAACACAAAAAGTTTTATGCTTATGTTTTGTCGAAAGATCTATACTTTTTTTTAAGACGTTACAGTGTGAAAAAAAAAAAAGACGTTACAGGGTGGCAATGTGGCGCAGCACGTAAAGTTAACTCTTGCAGCACCAGCAATCACAAATAGGTGCCAGGTTGAATCCCAGCTGCTCCACTTCTACTCCAACTCCCTGGTAATATTGCTACGAAAGCAGTGTAGGCTAGCCCAGGTCCTTGGGCTCCTGCATCCATGTGGGAGACCCAGAAGAAGCTGCTGGCTTTGGACTGGCCCAAATCTGTGGCCATTTGGGGTGTCAACCAATGGATGGATGATCTCTCTCTCTCTAACTTGGCCTTTCAAATAAATAGATCAATCTTACAGAGATACCACTTTTAATTTTAATTTTTTTTCCATCTGGTAAGAGTTTTGTTTATAAAGGATTAGAATCACATAGGTAAAATAACATGAAAGAAACCATCCTCTGGGTCAACTTGTCTACAATACTGGTTTTCAGAATGTACAACACTCCTCATACTATTGGATCTTAGAGGTAACGCAGGCCAGTCCCCATGCAGATCTCAGTTACTCTGTATGGAATGATTCTAATATAATGTTAGGTGGGGGAAAAAACCCAAGATTAACAGTATATTGAAATGAACTATATTAAGAATTTTAGAGGTCTAGGTCATACCACCCTTAACATGCCCAGTATCATCTAATCTAGTGAGCTCAGCAGGGTTGGGCCTTGTTAATACTTGAATGGGAGAAATTTGGGTTCAGCATTGTGGCTGGCATCCCGTATGAGTTCTGGTTGCTCTAATTCCAAGCTAGCTCGCTGCTAAGGGGGTGGCAAAGCACCCAAGATGGCCCAAGTGATTGGACCCCTCACCTCCCTGGGAGTTCAGGACGGAGTTCCTGTGCCCTGGTTTCTGCTTGGCACAGTCCCAACCATGCAGTCTCCTGGGTAGTGAACTAGAAGATGGAAGATTCTCTCTCTGTAACTGTTTTTCAATTAAATAAATAGTTTTAAAAATAAATTGAACAGCATTGTTTTAAAATTTATTTGTATTGCAAAATCAGATATACAGAGAGGAGGAGATTGAGAGGAAGATCCTCCATTCGATGATTCACTCCCCAATGATTGCAACAGCTGGAGCTGAGCCAATCCAAAGCCAGGAGCCAGGAGCTCTTCTGGGTCTCCCACATGGGTGCAGCATCCCAAGGCTTCGGGCCATCCTAGACTGCTTTCCAAGACCACAAGCAGGGAGCTGGATGGGAAGTGGATCAGCAGATCACAAACTGGCACCCATATGGGATGCTGGTGCAAGTAGGATGATGATTAACCCATGCCAACTCTTAGTGCTTGTTCTTTTTCATGCTAGTTATACCTTAAAAAAAAACCTATGCAGTTTCTTTGCAAATTAAATTTAACGTTAAATGCAACAAGTAAGCTAAAAATGTAAATGTCTTGGAATTAGAAAAGTAGTAAAGTTTAGCTTGTGAGTGCCCATTTATAGTATATCATATACATGATTAGTAATACTTGATGGAGAATTCTTAGTAGAGGAAAACATGGTGGCTGGAAAAATTCTACAAAAATTTTTTTTTCATTAAAATTGTTCTACCTTCTACTCAGCAAGAATTTAACATTTCTACTAACAGCACACAACCTGAGTCTGACCATAAGAAACAACAGACAAAAGTAATCTGGCCTTTGTCTTTAAAAATAACTGGACTCTTTCCCCCCTTCTCCTGCCTCTCTGTCACTATAATAGATTGTACATTGTTATGTTATTGTTTTTTAAATTACCCTAGACTTTAAATACAGATAGAACTACTAAAAGAAATTTAAAAATGCTATGAATATATGGTTGTCAAAATAAAACATTCTTCTGAATATAGACCTTTTTGAGCATGTGGAATTAAAAAAAAAACAAAACAAACAAACAAACCAAAAACTGGACTCTTTCCTCCCCTCTCCTGCCTCTCTCCTGTCCTTCATCCTGCCCCTTCCCCTGCCCTGGCAGCCCACATCCTGCCACCATGGCAGATAGGTCCCTTCTAGTTTTCTCTCCCTCCACCCCTGAAAACAAACAAACAAAAAACTGGACTATGGTCTGGCATCATGGTATAACGAGTTAACCCACTGCTTGCAGCAGAACGCTGGCTGAGTCCTGGCTGCTCTGCTGGCAATCCAGCTTTCCACAAAGGAGCCTGGGGAAGCAGCAGGTATGGCCCTCTTGCTTGGCCACTGACTCCTGCGGTGGAGACCAAGACAGCGCACCTGGCTCCTGGCTTCAGAATGACCCAGCCCCAAATGTTAGGGCAATTTGGGGAGAGAATCAGTGAATCGAAGATCAGAAGATCTCTCACTTGCTTGTTCACTCCCTGTCAGTCATTCTGCCTACACACATATGTGTGTTTTAAATAATACATATGTGTATATTATTTTAGTTTGCAAAACTATACTCTTTAAGACAACCAATGTTATGAAACATTTTTAAAGCACAGGAAATGTTTCAGAATAAGAAAACTAAAAAGATGCAATAATTTAAATGCAAAGTATTACCTTAGATTTTCTTTTGCTCTAAAAGATAGCATTAGGGCAACTAACAAATAAGTTTGTTGGCTAAAGTATTATTTCATATTAATTTCCTGCTTTTGAAAATTATGGTGAGACTGAGACTATAAGACAAGTTAGTCTTAAGATAGATAAATATTTAGGAGCAAAAGATGTTCATCAATGCAACTGACATTTTAATAAAGGTAAAATTCACATAAAGTAATATTAACCATTTTAAAGTACAGAATGCAGTTGCATTTAGTGTGTTCATAATGTTATACAACCACTACCTCAACCTAATTCCTGAATATTTTCCCGATCCCAAAGGAGCTATCATATTCATTAAACACTTTCCATTCCTCCCTCTCCAAGCCACAACAAGCAGTAATTTGCTTTCTCTATGAAGCAAGTCTACTCTGGATGTTTCTGATAAACAGAATCATACAATACTCATATGTAGTCCTTTGCGTATATCTTTTATTATCTGGTACAATGTTTTTGAGGCTCATCATAAGGTTACATGTATCAGTTCTTTCCTTTCTGTTGTTAAATATACTGCATTCTGTTTGTCTAATAAATTGTGACCAACATTTGAGTTTGTTTCCACCTTTGTGAACAGTGCTATGCAGCTTCAGTTTTAGCCTACTGGCTGAAGTCCTTGCCTTGAATGCGCTGGGATCCCATATTGGTGCTGCCTCTAATCCTGGCAGCCCTGTTTCCCATCCGCTCCCTGCTTGTGACCTGGGAAAGCAGTTGAGGACGGCCCAAAGCCTTGGGACCCTCCACCCACATGGGAGACCTGGAAGAAGCTCCTGGCTCCAGGCTTCGGACAGGCTCAGTTCTTGCCATTGTGGTCACTTGGGGTGTGAATCAATGGATAAATCTTCCTCTCTGTCTCTCCTCCTCTCTCTGTATATCTGCCTTTCCAATAAAAAATAAATTAAAAATCTTAAAAAAAAAACCTTCACTCTGTGTTTTTGTTAGATAAACAGAAAAGAAGATAAAGGAAACTTAGTAACATATTAACATTTGAAGAATGTGGGTAAAGGTTATCTAAAGAATTTTACACCAATCTTCTAAGGCTTCTTTCTGTAAGTGTGAAATTATGTTAAAAAAAAATTCTTGGGGCCAGTGCTGTAGCATATGGGTACCAGTTCACTTCCCAGCTGCTCCACCTCCCTGCTAATGGCCTGAGAAAAGCAGAAAAGGGCCCAAAGCTGGAACTTCTGCCACTTACGTGGGAGACAAGGATGAAGTGCCTGGTTTCAACCCGCCAGGTGCTAGCCCTTGTGGCTATGTGGAGAGTGACCGAGCATGAAGATCTCAACCTCTCTCTCCTCTCCACCGCCCCATAACTTTGAACTCTTTCAGAATTTACAAATAAATAAATAATACTAACTATTGGAAATAACTGCGACCTTTTAAGAACAGAAGAAGCCAAGAATGCTGATATATTACTGGTGGGGATATAGAGTTCCAAACAATCCTGAGAACAATTTGGAAATAAACATAACCTAAATCTCACAAACCCATTTCCAGCTATTCTTAAATCAGGTTTTTACACTGTGGCCCATGATTCATTGTGAATTCAGCTTTGTGCTAGGAAAATAACCAATATATATAAAATATTAAATCAAGATATCATTCTTAGCACTTACAATAATAGAGAAATGTTTTGTGAATTCTCTTACCATAAGGATTATTTTTAAAAACTATCTTGAGTCAGAAAAGTATGTCACATAATTACCTATTATATAATCCACTTCCAAGGTGGAGGAATCCACCATGGGGGGAGGGGTATGGGAGGGGTGGGGGGAATCCCCAGCGCCTATAAAACTGTACTACATAATACAATGTAAGCAACAATAAAAAATAAATAAATAAATAAATTAAAAAAATCCACTTCATAGGACATTCAAAACAACCAAACATAGTACTGTGTTTTTAAGGAACACATTCACAAGTAATAAAAAAAATTTTCAGAAATTTCAGTGAAATCATTAACACAAAATAGCAATCATTAACACATAAGACAAAGTGACCTCTACAGAGGAGGGAGAAGGGCATACAAGAAAGGCATACAAGAATAATTTTTAAAACCTATCTGGATAAGTTACATATCAGTAATTTACAGTATACAAAGCTAATGTAAGGATTTCTTGCTTTTGCTTTATATTATTTCAGAAAGAGAATATTCCAGGTGGCTAGCCTGACTTAGTAAGAATAAGTTATCTTACCTAGAATCAAGAGAATAAAGTTAAAAATTAAACTGGGAGGGAAGAGAGATTGATACATCAGAAGAAAATCCAAATGGGTCAGTTTGTGTCTGTAGATTTGTCACAAAAACAGAGCAACCATATCCTCTATACTGTATAAATGATAGAAGAAACATAAAATTATGGACTAAAATAAATCACCCTAAAATAATAACAGATTTCTATGTCAAGGGAGGGAGGGGGGATGGGACTAGGAGGAAAACAAAACCGAATCTATATTGTTTTATTTTAAATAAAATACGCTAAAACATGTTAATTCTGGATGGTGAGTAATGAATACTTGCTCCATATTTTCCTATACTTTTTGAAATATGGAAAAAGTATTTGCAATTAAATATATAATTTTTAGGGTTTGGCGTGGTAGCTTAGTGGCTAAAATCCTCACTTTGCACATGCCAGAATCCCATATGGGCATCGATTTGTGTCCCAGCAGCCCTGCTTCCCATCTAGCACCCTGCTGGTTGCCTGGGAAAGAAACCCTGCTTCCCAACCAGCACCCAAGTAGGAGATCAGAAAGAAGCTCCTGGCTGCTGACTGGCCCAGCTCCACCTACTGCGGCCACCTGCGGAGTGAATCAGCAGACAGAGGATCTTCCTCTCTGTCTTTCCTCCTCTCTGTATCTGACTTTGCAATAAAAACACATAAATCTTAAAAAACATATATATACATATATATATATTCAATTTTGAGTATTCACATTTTTCATTCTGCTTCCAAGGATTTATCCTCATACAACTGCACAAAGCTGCATCTATAAATAATCCACTATAATTCTGCACAATAGGACTGGTTATACATACTGTATTTATAATCATTAAATTTTTTTTTCCCAACAGAGCCACATTGTGATACTGGCACCCCACACAGGTATTAGTTTAAGTCCCTCCTGCTCTACTTCCAATCTGGCTGCACTCTGTTAATGTGTCTGGAAAAAACAGCAGAAAATGGCCCAAGTGTTTGGGTCCCTGCCACCTACATTGGAGACTAGATGGAACTTTAGACTTCTGGCTTTGACCTGGCTGTTGCAGCCATTTGGGGTGGAAATTAGTGAGATTTCCTTTCTCTGATATCCTGCTTTCCAAATAAAATAAATAAACCTTTAAAAAATTTTAAAATAAAAACTGTTTAAAATAAATACATGTTTTGGCTTGGAAAATACACCAAGATATACTCAATATAGAACAAATGGTTATATGTTAAGATAGACACAGTACATCTCTGGAAACAACCCAGAAATTAGTTCCCATGGATGACTCTGGAGAAAGAAACTGCCCGACCAGGGACTTGTGCTATATTCACTTGTATCTTTTAATTTTATACTACATATTAATGCCTATTTTAAGAAAATATTTATAGCATACTAGTATATTTTTGCATTGGTCTTTTAAAGATTTATTTTTATTATTTTTTCATTGGAAAGGCGGATATACAGAGAGGAGAGACAGAGAGGAAGATCTTCCGTCCGATGATTCACTCCCCAAGTGAGCGCAACGGCTGATACTATGCCGATCCGAAGCCAGGAGCCTCTTCCGGGTCTCCCACGCGGGTGCAGGGTCCCAAAGCTTTGGGCTGTCCTCCACTGCTTTCCCAGGCCACAGGCAGGGAGCTGGAAGGGAAGCGGGGCTGCCGGGATTAGAACCGGCGCCCATATGGGATCCCGGGCGTGCAAGGCGAGGACCTTTAACCACTTGCGCCACCGCGCCGGGCCCTGCACTGGTCTTTTAAAAAAAAAACCTTATATATGTTTAGAAAAAATCTTGTTGGTTACATCAATCTAGAAGTGAAAATATCCAGAGGATAGGATTTAGGCAACTTCTGCTTTCCCCAGGATGTATTCCATAATGATTTAAAAAACTAAAAACAAAAGCATGCTTTGCAATACATACATGCTATTCTTCTCTTTGGCTTAACAAAATGTTCATATTTTGATTCATGATTGAAGTTTTGGTTAGGAACAAGGAGTATTTTTTCTCCCATTGAAGGTTTTTTACTATTTCATGAATTTTTCTTTAATATTTATTTATCTGGAAGTCATACAGGAAGAGACACAGAAAGAGATCTTCTACCTCCTAATTTACTCCCCAGATGGACATAATAGCCAGGGCTGGGCCAGGAGCTTCAGCTAGGTCTCCAACATGGGCACAGGGCCCCAGACATGTAGGCCATCTTTCACTGCTTTTCCCAGGCCATTAACGGTGAGCGAACCGGGAGGAGAGCAGCCAGGACTCAGAGTGGTGGTCACATGGAATGCTTCTGTTGAAAGCAGCAGCTTTACACAGCATGGCACAATGCCAGTCTCTATTTTATAATATTCTGAATTCTAATATTATAAACAAGAGATTAATTAATCATAAAAGTAGAGAGAATGAGAGATCTCCCTTTGCTAGTTTACACCCAGACGACCGTAACAGCCAGGGTTTACACCAGATCTCCATCTGGGTCTACCAGGCTGGTGGCAGAGACCCAGGTACCTGAGCCGTCACCAGCTGCCTCCCATGGTACATTTCAGCAGGAAGCTGGAATTGGAAGCAGAGCCAGAATTCAAGACTCAAGCCTGCTCATGGAATGTAGCATCCCAAGCAATCTCTTAATCAATATGCCAAATGCTTGTTCCAGGCAAACAATACACTAGACTGTATTTCATTCATCACCAATTGTGTTTGCTTCCTGGAGAGACCTCTTAGACATCATTTGTTCCTAATACTGAAATAAAATGATAAATAAAATAAAAGTATTTTCATGAAAAGAGGTTAGGAGTTATATTTTTCTTTTTGTATCTCAAATATTCTGAATATTTTCGGCTATGCTTATTTTAGTATAAGCTTTTGTAAGTTATTCAAATCTAGAGAGCTTTCAGTTCAAACGGGTATTTTGTCTCTCTAGTTTAAGTAAGCTATGCTGAGGCCCAGTGTGGTAGCCTAGCAGCTAAAGTCCGTGCCTTACATGCGCCAGAATCCCATATGGGCGCTGGTTCTAATCCCAGCAACCCTGCTTTCCATCCAGCTCCCTGCTTGTGGCCTGGGAAAGCAGTGGAGGATGGCCCAAAACCTTGGGACCTTGCACCTGTGTGGGAGATCTGGAAGAAGCTCCTGGCTCCTGGCTTTGGATCACCTCAGCTCTGGCTACTGCAGCCACTTGGGGATCATCGGAGAAAAGATCTCTGCTCCTCTCTGTATATCCGGTTTTACAATAAAAATAAATAAAAATCTTCAAAAGAAAGAAAATCACGATGACTACAGACATGATCTAAAGGAAAATGTTTCAGGACAATAGAACTGGCTTTTGTTCAGTTTTTAAGATTTGTTTATTTATTTGAAAGTCAGAGTTCCAGAGAGAGGAGCAGAGAGAGACAGGTCTGAGACAGAGATTGGCTTTTTTTGTTTTTAAGATTTATTGGGTTTGGGCCCGGCGCCAGGGCCTGCTCGCTAAAGTCCTTGCCTTGAATGCGCCCCAGAATCCCATAAGGGCACCAGTTCTAATCCCGACAGCTCCACTTCCCATCCAGCTCCCTGCTTGTGGCCTGGGAAAGCAGTCGAGGACAGTCCAAAACCTTGGGACCCTGTACCAGTGTGGGAGACCTGGAAGAAGTTCCTGGCTCCTGGCTTTGGATCGGCACAGCACCGGCCATTGCGCTCACTTGTGGGGGAGAGTCATCGGATGGAGGATCTTCCTCTCTGTCTCTCCTCCTCTCTGTATGTCTGATTTTGTAATAGAAATAAACAAACCTTCTTAAAAAAATTTTTAAAAAGAGCCATCAATTTATTTCAGAAATTTTTCATTTAATGTTTTTGGGTCAGAGTTGTTTAACTGAAACTCTGGAAAGTGTAATTATGGGTAACTACTGCATAGGAAGGAAGCCATAAAGAAAGCGAGATTACAGCAGTCCAAAACAATTCAGACCAAATAGCATCTAGCAGAAAACTCATACAAGCGAGCTGCTGGAGTTCTAATCATTACCATCTCAAGCAGTGACTCCCGTATCCTTTTTCTGTTTACATCTTTGTTCTTTTCTGCCTCCTGTTACTCTCAACTGTTCCTATTTTCCCTGACTTTGCCTAGTTATATAAAAAAAAAGTCAAGATCTGACCTACATCTCAACAGTATCCACCTCTGCGGCATTTTCTATTATGCACTCCCCTGCTCCTGGGGAGGGCTTTATCTGAATTTCAAAGCAATCTGCAACAGTCAGTATTCTAAAGTAACTGACCCACAGCCAGAAGTAGTTGGAAACCCTGTGACCTACTAAAAGAAAGAAAGAACTTAAAAAGGGCTAGATCCACTTACCACGAGCCTGCTTTTTTATTTCTTTGGCAGAGTCCAACCATGTCTGTGAAAAGAAGAAAAGTTATTCACACAGAGCTCCACCGCACACAAACAGCAGAGTACTAGAAGCAGGATCCCTGGCCACCTTCCAACAGTGCTTCCAGCTCAACCCACATTTCCTGACAGCCTTTGCATTCATTTCGTAACACATACTGATTTTGAGCAAGGCAGCAGGAAGCCAGAGGTTGGGCTCGAATCCTATGTGCCACTACTCCCTGGCTGGACACCAGGATCTCTGCCCCTCAGTTTCCTGATCTATAAAATGAGTTATTAACAACAATGCTTTCCTTACAGAATTATCGCAAAGATTAAATCGGTCATTACATGTGAATATTTTAGTAAGTGTCAGATGCTAAAGAAATATTTGTTACATATATCACTCAGTAAAGACTAGTAAGATCCACCACTTAACTGGCATCATTCAACCCTTATTCTACCCTCCACTTTGACCCAAGGGCTTGTTCAATTTTTCTCTGTCACACAGAATCTGGTACACAGTATATGCTCAGTTAAAGTCTACTTAATGAATAGTTTATCTTCCTGATGTCTCTTGACCCTTATGTTATCATATTCCACTTTGAATCTCCACACTTCTAGAGCAGGTCTTGACCCATGGTGAGCCACACAAAATAATGGTACCTAAAAAGAATCTCACCACCAACATCTTTATAGAAATGTTTTTTAAAAAGGGACCAGCAGGTAGCCAAGTGGCTAAAGTTCTCGCCTTGCATGCACCAGGATCCCATATGAGTGCTGGTTTGTGTCCCAGCTGCTCTACTTCCCTTCCAGGTCCCTGCTTGTAGTCTGGGAAGGCAACTGACTATGGCCCAAAGCCTGGGGACCCTGCACCCACATGGAAAACCCGGAAGAAGCTCCTGGCTCCTGGCCTCAGATGGATTCAGCTCTGGTCCTTGTGGAGTGAACCAGCGGATGGAAGATTTTTGTCTCTCCTTCTCTCTGTATATCTGCTTCCCAATTAAAAAACGAATCTTTTTATTAAAAAAGAAGAAATGTTTAGACTATAATTTCTAAATTTCTAGAGTTATCTAAAACATTTCTATTGACTATGATCTATGATGTATACAGAAAAGAACATAAAACGTAAATATACAGGAGGATAAAATATTGTAACATTAGCAGCACTTCAGGTGCCCCTCTCCTGTCCTTCTCACTCCCTTTCCCTTGTCTAAAAGGTTTAACTGGCTTTGGAGTTTAGCGATATTGCTTAAAACGTGAGTAAGGCGTCCCTTCCCCACCCCTGTCAACAAGAGGAGGGCACAGGGCAGCCATCCTATTTGCTTCACCAAAGAACAAGGCTTGAACATCGGAAGTTTTACACTTGGCCATATACTACTTTGTAACATAAAGATTGTTACAACAGACAATGATTCAATTGAGGGAATCAATTTTTTCTTGTACTTCCCCTGTAACTAACATAAAGGATTAACAAATACATACTAGTAACACCACTTCACATGTAATTATTCTTTAGTATAAAAACTAAGCACATCAGAAAGACTGAATCTGCTTTCTTCAGTTCTAAATGACAGCCTGAAGAAATTTATAGAGTATTACAGGTCTAAAGTCAGGTGGAAATTTTTAAAAGCAGCAACTGAGAAGTTTTGTGGGACTCTGAGAACCTTGCTAGAACATGCAACCCAGGTCACTGAAAGGAGGCCATCTTCCACCAGTTGAAGTGGTCACTGCCCACCATGGAAAACGCCACACAGTTTTAAGGACAATGTGGAGGCTCCAAGGTCTTGTCAGGGATTATATACACTGCTCTCTGACTTGGAATGCTGCCAGCCGGACACAAAGAAGACAAACAAGAATTGTGTCCATCACATGGGGACTCCAAAGGAGAAGCTAACTTAATCAACAAGCCATACGTCCACATCAAAAATAAAAAGTAAAAAACAAAACTTTCTGGAGATAACAAAAGCAATGTGTGTAGGGCCAGGCACTTGAAAACCCAGCTTATTATCTCAGTTCCTAGTTTTTAATTTAGCCAACAAATATTTCAAGAAACCAGGCCCAGTGCTGTGGCCTACTGGCAAAAGTCCTTGCCTTGAAAGCACCAGTTTCCCATATGGGTGCCAATTCTAATCCCAGGAATCTCGCTTCCCATTCAGCCTCCTGCTTGTGGCCTGGGAAAGCAGTGGAGGATGGCCCAACGCCTTGGGACTCTGCACCTGTGTGGGAGACCTGGAGGAGGATCTGGGCTTCTGGCTTCAGATTGGCTCAGCACTGGCCACTGCGCTCACTTGGGGAGTGAATCATCGGACGGAGATATTTCTCTCTGTCTCTCCTCCTCTCTGTATATCTGACTTTGTAATAAAAAATAAATAAATCAAAAAAATATTTCAAGAATCCTTCATGTGTTGGGCATTACAGACAGGACATGAGAAAGTGAGGCCCCATCTGCTGGATTATCCCCCAAAAGCCTGCATCGGCTCGGGGCTGGCCCAGGAACTGAAGCCAAGAGTTAGGACTCTGTTTCCACATGTATGCTAGGAACAAAACACTTGAGCCATCACCTGCTACCTGCCAGGGTGAACATCAGCAGGAAGACAGCATCAGGAATCACAAACACACCTTACACCAGTGCGGGACGTGGCATCTTAACTCTCCTAATATGCTGTTATTCTAAAATGAGAGATAAGAGAATATTCTGTGCTAACTGTGATAGAACTATGTGGGACAGTGCTGTGATAGAGTGGAGAGCACCATAAGAACACAGCGATCATGACCTGAGAAAAACAACAGGTCATCCAAGTACATGGACCTCTGCCACTCACACGGGAGACCAAGAAGTTGCTGCCTCCTGACTTCATCTTTAGTCATTGTTGAAAATAACTGTGGTCCCACAGACTATAATGACTTAGGGTACAGGCATCGAAATCAGATGGTCTTGAACTTTAATTCTGTCTCAAAATCTCTACCATTCCCTATTTGTGCAATCTTTAAAAAAATTTTTTTTTTGATTGACTGATTTGAAAGGCAGAGTGACAAGAGAGAGAGGAAGAAACAGAGAGAGATCCTCCATCTTCTGGTTCACTCTCCAAATGGCGGCAACAACTGAAGGCAGGAGTCTGCAAATCTATCCTTCTTTCCCACACAGATGGCAGTGGCCCAAGCACCTGGGCCATTATCTGTTGCCTTCCTTTGTATACCAGCAGAGAGCTGGACTTAAAGGGGAGCAGTTGGGACTCAACTGGTGCTCTACACTACAACACTTACTGTTAGTTGTATAATCTTATATTTGTGGCCACCATGTGACTGGCTGCCTGGCAGCACTCTGTGGAGGGAGCAGCCTCCAAGTGGTTGGATACCAGGCCATGGTCTGCAGTGAGCAGCCACCATATGGACCTGGGGGTGAGGGCTTGTGGGTGGCCTGGGGGTTGCTCCCTGGTGGGAGTGGGCGTGGGGAGACCTGGGTTCCTATGTTCAGGCAAGAGGAGCGAGCCTGGGGATTTCCCCACTAGCATGGTCTGTGGATTGATCAGGGAAGGAGTAAAAAAATGCTGGGGGAATATGTTGCAGGCGAGGAATGACTTTTGAGGGACTTCCACTGACAAGGCCACTATACTTGTAAGTAAGTAAGGGGGCTGACACCGAGTTGTTTGGAGAGTGGAAGCAGCAAGACTTCTATGGGTCAGACAATGATCCAGCTTACGTAGATCACAGCGGGTTAGTTAACATGGACCACAGCTGACCACTACTCATCAGTGCACACTAAAGCTAGGGCTGGGCCTGCCTGGCAGGGCTAGATCATAGAACCCACTAGTAAGAGTTGGAGCAGGAGCCATGACACTAACATGTGAGAACCAGGTCTGGGGTCAGATTCTGTGGGGGATATATGGGTCCACCTCTGTGGAATTGCAAATTTCCACTGGTTTGCTTAAGATTTGGGGGTGGTGACAGGCTGAGGTAGGCATGACCATGGAACCCCTGACAAGGATACTGGAGTTGGAATAGGTTGGACTGGTCCAGCCTGTAACACCCGCAGGTGCACCCAAAAATAGGGTATGGGCAGGCCGGGTTGCAAATCCACCAGCTCATACAAAGGCCAAGACAGAGGGGGCAGTCTATGCTGGGTAAGGGCCTAGTGCCCAATGGCACAAGTGAGATCTGGGACTGGGAATGGGCCTGGTGGGGGAACTTGGGAAACTCTCCCGGTAAACCACAGCTCCTGTGGGTGAGCATGTGATTCAGGCTTGGGTGTTAGTTGGGCAGGGAAAAGTGGTCCACTTGTCAGCAAGTGTGGGTTGGTTCTGGAGAAACGCAGGTCAGGCAGGGCCAACCTTAACTCTCTGGCATGAACAGTAGCTAGACTGGAGTGCAGGTCATGCTGGGCTAGGCTATCACACCTATTAGTTTGCATGAGCCAGGGATGTGGGCAGTCTGGGCAGGACTATGCTGTAGTACCTGCCAACTAAAGTTGGGACTTGAGATGAGCCAGGAGGTCAGGCTGCAGCATCTGATGGCAAAGGCCAAGATGGGGGATGGGCTATGCTGAGCTGGGTCAGAGCAACCACTGGCACGGATAAGATCTATGGTTGAGAACAGGCCTTACTAGGGAACTAAGGGCAAGCCCTGGCTGGGCTGTGGTTCTTACTGGTGAGCACAATGGCCAAAATGGGTGCAGCATCCTGGACTGGATATGATTACAGTGCCTCTTGGCATGAGTGTGGACTGGGTCTGGGGTGTGTCAGACTAGGCTTGACTCCAAAACCCACTGGTGCTTGTGAGAGCCAGGGTAAGTATAGAACAGGCTGGGCCAGGTCTCATGTGAGAGTTGTGTCTGGGTGTGGACCAGGTGTGGCTGGGCTGTAGCACCCAACAGTAAGAACTGGAATGGGTATAGGCCAGTTGGGCAAGGCCACTGTTCCTGCCAGGGCAGCAAGTGGACTAAGGCTGGGCCAAGGACCCACCACTGTGTGCAAGATCTGCCACTAGGAGGAGGCCTGATAGAAGATCTTGGGTAACTCCTCAGTAGGGCAC